CCAAGCATTCAACACATAAGCTTTGGGAGTTTTTCCTAACAGTGTTTTCAGTTATATACCTTTTTTTACTTTAACCAATAAATAACTTTGAGCAGAAATACGAAGGTCATTGTTCAGAGCAATATGTGAGGCTTTACCAGGAATTCCAGTCATTTGGATTCCTGAGTTTTGCTGAACTCATCTAAAAGCAGTGTCTTCAATTACTTCAGGGTTTTCCCCCTTCATACTATAGAGTCGGGGCATGAACAAACAAGGCCACAGCCCAGCTTTAAACTTGTTCATTATTGAGTTCTGAAAAATGCCTTCAGTGCTGCCAAGACTAAAAAGGTTTCAGTTCAGTTTGATTTCTCCCAGAGAGAAAATGTTGACATTGTGAAAGGAAGATGCTGCTTAGGAATAACGGTACTTTGCTGTACCCACAGGGGCTAGTGTGGCACTTAGCACGTATTATGGGCCCAGAAATACGTGCTGAATGACTTATTAGCCATTCATCACATTCTGGGGGGAGAGAAATGAGAGGGAATGAGCAGGGTATTAGTCAGGTTTTCGTTGCTGCGACAGAATACCTGAGCTGAACAATTTAAAAGAGGGAAAGATTGATTTTGGCTCGTGGTTTCAGAGGTTTCAGTCCACGGTAAATTGACACTGTTGCTCTGGGTCTATGGTGAAGCAGAACATGATGGACGGGAGAGCATGATGGAGCAAGGTTGCTTACCTCTTAGTGGCTCAGAGAGACCAGGGTGTCAACGTCCCCTTCAACCCCACACCCTGAATGACTTAACATCCTTCCATTAGGCTCCACCTCCTAAAGGCTCCACTATCTCCCAGTTGAGCCACAGGCTGGCCACCAAGCTTTTAACACAGGAGCCATTGGGGTGTACCTAAGACTCAAAACCATAACAGGAACAGAAATGAAATCACAAAATATTAGAATTGGCCAATTGAGGGCCCACCTAGTACATACTCTTAAAATGCCAGTTTTGGTTACTATAGTTGTTGCAGACTATCCTGTGCCAACCACTGCTTTTCAGAATGAGTAACTAGTTAGGAAAGTTAATGCTTCTGACTTAAAACTAATCACATCAGTTCAGCTGGCCAGTTTTAGCCTGCTCCTCTCTATCTCGTTTGGATATTTACAGACATATCCTGTGGGATTCCTTGTCTGGAAACTTCCAGACTCATACTTGTTGCAGTGTTGACCTGTTTTTAATACCCATTCATGTACTGAGCCATACAAGGATAAGGACCTAATCTGGGTTCAATGAGGCCTTGGCCGGTACAGACATATCACAAGTCAAAGAATATCGAAGGTGACGCCTGAAATAAAAAGTTGTATAAATGGAGTCATTAGCTAAAAATAGTTCCCCAAACACAGGTTGTTTTGCGTCCTTCCCTTAAAAATAGACCAAGCAGCCCAACAGCAAATCAGGGTGTTGCTCATCTCGCAGATGGACACAGAGCTGGCAGGAAAGCCGGGTACAGCAGTCGCTGACTGGAGCTGAGGTCAGCACTTCCCCTGAATTTGCCTTGGAATTTGTACCCAAATTGTGTTTGGGCCTCGAGAAGATTCATTCAGCCAAGCTGATTTATGGCAGTAAATGACCACTTAACCATACCTCCTAATCACATAAATAGGGATTATGGAGTGATATAGAATGGTTTATGAAATCATTTTTGAATCATCTTTTCAACAGTAATTATACCAGTCCTGGAATACCTTAAACCCAATGATATTGGCATCCATTCACCTAAGCAACTTTAATATTCTGGTGATTATCATGCAAAACTGACAGTGCAATAAAATGACAGGCTTACGCTTAATTCCTCTTCTTCCACTGCATTTCTTTTATTTTTTTCCCCTTTCACATTAAAACATACTTCATAATATTTCATCACAGGAGAAGGCTGTGTAAGTTTCCAGTTGCTGTAATTTAGTTAAACCATAAAATTGTTTCCAGATTACCAACCATGAAATGGAAAGACAATCTTATTTATGAATTTATAAATTAGATAATCTCCCTCAAATGAATCCTGAAACCAGAAACACTTTGATGATTAAGTAGGGAGAAGAGTTTTCTCATTACCATGTGTCAATAGAACTACGTTTTCCTAGAGTGGTTTTGGGCGAGACAGCGGAGCTCGAATGCGTGATCAGTTCAGACTGGCTGTTTCCTGGGGAAGGGAGGGAACACTCCTCCTGCTGTCGGACCCAGGAATCTCAACTCTGGGGAGGGTGGCAGGTGAGCAGCTGAGACCTCAAACCTCCTTCCAGGTGGTCCTGAGGGTGACGCCAGCTGGAAGGGTCCATGCAGGAGCATGCCTGCCCTGGCACACAGACACTGAAAGGAAAGCAAAGCACCTGGCTACCCAGTTGGGATATGGGCTTCTGCCCCAAAGCATCCAAAGTCTCGCCCAGGTAGTCCTCCAGTGCTGTCGTTAGCACTCTCAATGAGGAGTGGAATGTGATTTGGGAATTATCTTCATGCACATCCTGAAATCGTTATCGGGGAAAGCCCAGGGGAGAAGCTGAGCACCCACAGCGCAGAGGAAAATCCCAGTGAGCCTCTCGTGCAGGTGACCCACCTGTGCAGTGCTACTCCGTACTTTGATCCACAGTCAGGACCAGCTGAACATCAGTGTCCACACTACAGAGTCATCCCAGGGCGCTGTTGTGGTTCTGATGCCACTGCCCCGCTTGTTTGCAGGCCGGTGAAGGCCATAGCCTGGAGAGGGGTCGGAGGGAAGCTAGCCGGCCCTGGGCAGCATTGTACCCAGAGGCAGGGTTGGAGTCCAGATTCCCAGCACTTCCTTCTGCCATTTCCCTCTTAGCAGATTTTTGTTTATTCTCTACAGCCACAGATTCACCTGTCTCTTGCATTTCTTCATACTGTTGTCTTTGTGTGCTTAGATCGTTGTCCTGCTTTCCCGCCCCACACTCTGGTTGGGCAGAACTGCAGGCCACTTCCTAACCAAAGCTGTGTAGATCCTGCAAATGCCATACCACTTAAAGAAAACCAGTGCGTGTCTAGGGCTGAATAAAAGCAACCAGCTTGTAGCTCTGAGTTCACCTCCTGCCATGAGTCGTGAGTCTCACTCCAAGCGCTGCCCTAGACAGAGTCAGTGCCTGTGGGATGTGAAGGTCTGAACCGCTCCCACCCAGCACGGAGCATTTTCCCCAAGGAAGTCACTTGTTTCTCAAGAGTTTGTGTGAGTCAGTGTCTCCCATGGGGCAGACAGCCTGGCCAGCCACCGCCCCATCATTTCCGAGATCCCACTATAACTTGGATCAATAAACGGGATTTCCAGTGAGTTTTAACCAATTTGTTTTTGTTGTTTGAATTCCTTACTAATTTTTCTCTTTGACACACTGACCATCTTATGGGAATGAGGAGGCCAGGGGCACAGGTATGGCTGAAACTGCTCCACAGCTCAAGGCGCAGCATTTCCTGTTGGTGCATCTGGAAGCATTTGTAAGGTCACCCCGGTACACCGGCAGATGCATTTCCATGCTTCCCAGGCGAGATTTCTTCTCTCCACTCCACTAGAACAGAGACACCCTAACATTAATACTTAGATGTGGGGTCGGGGTGGGTTTACAATCAGTACCTCTCCCGACTGCACGCCTTAGCTCCAAGAAACTCAGTATTGTGACAGAACCATCAGCTCTACTCATAAACTGAACACATGGAATTCTGAAGTCAGAAGCTTGTAATTGCAAAATTAAACTTGACATTGCATAAGGCATGAAAAGTTATATTCTGAAGGCAAAACTCAAGGCCCTGAGCTCGCAAACAATCATTTGCCACAAAGTTCAGGACACAGACATACCATGTTTTAACCAGTTGCTTTTTTCTAGTGAAAGACTAGATCACTACCATTAGTGTTTGCACTGAGCACCCGGTGATGTAGTTGAGCTGTGTGTGAGAGTGACAGTGTATGGATGTGCTGTTTGTCACCTGGGAATCACCATTGCCCACACTAGCGGCCCACAGCTGTGAGACCTACAGTGCTCCCTCACCTCACACTCAGGCTAGGGCACCTGGTGATGGGGTATAATGGTAGACAAGAGGTCCACACCACTCTCTTCCTTTCCTGTTTTTGACTACTGAGTGTGTGCACATGAATTCACAGGAGGGGAATTGGGACGCCACTCTTCACTTAGTTGTTGTGCTGTTGTGTTCATAATGTATTGAAAATAATGATAAGAGTTCTGTGAAACAACCGTTGTCTGGGGCCCGGAAACATGAGCCTATTTCAAATGCCTGATGTGGCATCAGAAAGACCTAAAGAGAGAACACAGTATGGTATCTGTCCATGCTTAGTAACTGGAGGGACATTTTCTTAAAGTCTTGGGACGATCAGGTTGTTACAGATACTCGCTTTCCTGTTTTATCCTATAAAATCCTTGAAGCCAGAGTTTCTATGACATTAGATTGAATACCATATACTCCCAAGCAGACAGTCACTTCAGTCATATATTCCATGGTCTGAATAAGAGACATTTGTGCTGCCCTTGGGCTACACGACAGGTATAAGGTTACCTCCAGCAAACTTCTCCGTCATTCACTCCAAAACCAGGCGGTGACCTTGTAGCTGAGGAGAGCAGCTCAAAGCTGTGTGTGACTGTTCAGTTTCTGCCCCAGGGCATCGTTGGGCCCAGGGAGGAAGCTTTTTGTGCAAGGTAAAATAAGAACAGGGCAGAAAGGCTCCAAAACACACAAGAAGAATTTACTGGGGAGACGTCTTCAGGAGGTCTCTGCTGGCCCGCGCCGTGTTTTTAATGTGACCACCAGCTGACACTCACCTCTCCTCCCTCCGTCCTGACTTCAGCCGAGGACTGGTGGGCTCTTCTTCAGTTTTCTGAGCCAGGCCAGGGTGAACTTGCGCGGCAACCAGCCAGTACCTTTTGGAACCTTTGTAATAATCAGGTAGATCCTTCACCTAGAAAAACCAGTCTGAAAGTCAATAGAGCTTTAACAAACACTTCTCTTGTTTTCCAGAGAGAGGATGCAAGCCATGGAGAAGCAGATCGCCAGTCTAACTGGCCTTGTTCAGTCTGCGCTTTTTAAAGGGCCCATTACAAGTAGTAGCAAAGATGCATCTAGGTAAAAAGCCTCGGGCCATCCAAATGAAACATGAGTCCACCTGTTTCTCTTTAATCATTAAGATCATTCGTTCATTCAAATTCGTTTCCTCGTAATCATTTCAAGGCTGAAAATATTCATTTCTCTGTGATTCATGGGTCTTGGTTTGTTTTGTTTGCCTTCTGGTAATTCTTGGACGAAGGTGACACTTTGGCCAAGAAGGGTGAATGAGCGTCCGCTGCATGGGGCTTCGTGGACCACTCACCGCACAGTGCCTGCCAACACCGCCACACGTCTGCCGCCCTCTGAGAGTCACCAGTGTGACCGCTGCGCCCACCCCAGTGTCACGCACACCTGGGAGCCTTTTCCATCGCAGCCACAATTCCCTCATGGCTTTACCCATCTCCGCTGATTGCTTCGAGCACTGACCTGAAAAAGGCATCTTGGAAAATAGCTGACTCTGTTTTTCTTTTATTCAGTGAGAAAATGATGAAAACCACAGCCAACAGGAGCCACACAGACAGTGCAGGTGAGTGAGCGTTCTCGGTGCTCCGGCAGGCCTGGGGCTGCCTCCGGTCCACCTTGGCTGGGCAAGGACAGTGGGTAAACACAGGGGGCATCATTCAGAAATGGCTGCCTACATAGAACTTTGCACTCTGAGAAGCTGGAATCAGAATGAGTGATCTTAAGTGTGTTGAGCGTTGAGAAGTACAGGATGCGTGTTGGACCAAGAGGGTTAGCATCTTCGTGGGGATGTGACCCAGAGCAGGTGCGAAGGTGGCTAGACTTGGGGCAGCAAAAGGTGGGAGGGGGGGTGCAGGTGGAGGGGACTCAGGTGCTACTCTGCGAGCAACATGAAGCTGTCAGAAGGTCACTGGGAAGGATGCCAGCCCAGCTCCATGCGGGAGTGGCTGAGAAGGGACAGAAGCGAGTGGGGAGCAATCGGTGGTCCCGGCAGGAGAAAAGGGTTTTGCCTTTTAAATGCTAGCACTCCCCCACCAAAGAGGACTACATTAGTCAGTTTTCCATCACTGCAACAAAACACTTGAAAATGATAGCTCAAAACAATGAAAGATTTATGACTCAGAGTTTCAGAGGTTTCAGTCCATGGTCAGCTGGCTCCATTGCTTTTAGGCTTGTGGGGAGGCAGAAGCATCACCACAGAAGAGCGTGGCAGCGCAAAGCCACTCACCTCATGGCAGTCGGGAAGCAGAGAGAGCCTGAGAGGAGAAGGCCAGGGACAGGTCCAGTCCCCAGGATCACCCCCTGAGCCCCACTCCCTTCAGCCAGGCCCTGCCTCCTACATTTGCAGATCGCTCAGTGAGGTCATCACATTACTCATCCATCAGTGCATTGATCCTCTGATGAAGTTAAAGCCCTTATGATCCAATCCCTTCTAAAAGCTCATCAGCTGGGAACCAGCACATGGCCTTGGAGGGCATTTTAGACCCAAACCCTAACAAGCACCGATTCCACCCCCAGTGGAGTATCCCAGTGTCCCAGTTTCCTAAGAGTGAAGCCTTCTCCTGCAGTCTCAAGGGAGGCCCCTCTGGAGAAGATGCGGCCTTCCCTCCCATGGGGTTAGAAATAGAAATCCCTGGCAGGGACATGTTCAGAAGCTAAATTACACAGAAACATATGGCAAGTGGGGCCAAACCCTTAATTTGGGGGAAGCCGCATCGACTCATCTTGCACAGCATAGTGAAGTGGACAGAATTTGGAACTTAGCTTTGAGCCCCTCTTGGCCCCAGTTCCGTGCTAGCTGAGTTCAGCTTAGCTCCGAATCCAGCAAGGCTGTTTTTCCAGCAGCTTGCTGAGAAGTCAATCAGTAGCCTTGGCTGAAGCCAGAAAATTATTTCATCAAAATTGCCAAACTTGTCTGCAGAGCAGTTGCCAATTTGTTGTGGAGGTATTTACTCATTCTTTATTTTCTTATTTGTTATGAACTTGGGGGGAGAACAGAACGTACTAAACCCTAAAACCCTCCAGCTCTCCAGAGTCCATTCTAGAGTGGCTGGCCTCTGACGCCACTGTGTCCATGCGGGTGTGTCCTCTCTTTTCTTCCTCTTCACTCTCTGTGAGACGATAATAATAGCAAACGTTTAAAGAGTGCCTCCTGTGTTCCAGGCATTACTCTGGGTGTTTTCAGCATAGATTCTCCAACTTCTGACTGCACCCTCAAGGAGTTGGTGTGATCTTATCCTGAGACTGAACACATCCCAGCACACGTGACACATGTCAGTGCGGGCGACACACCGGTTATTGTATCTCATTCTTTATGTCAGATACTCGTGTCCCTTGGGAAGAAAGTTATTTCGTCTCTCTTTTGAAAAGCTTTGTAAATGTCTTTTTTGAGCACAGGGGAAGGAGCAAGTGTGTTTTCCTTGGATCTGTTTCCCCGCATGCAATCAGTAAGTCCAAAGGGATGAAGAGCTTAGTGGCCCTGGGAACCCACTGCCAGCTTTCTCTTCTGAAAGGCTTCACTGGTCAGTGATGCCCCTGGCAGCACACAAGTGTCCTTGCTCCCAGGTCTCTGCTGAATTGGGGGCTTCTCATTCCAATGTATCAGGCTAGATGTGGTCTGCAGGGGTTCTGTTGCCATAGCAGCATAGGATGATGCATAAAATATATTAATTCTTCCAGAGTCCTTGGAAGTAAGTTGCAAGACAAGAGTTCTTATCCTTGTCCTGTAGTCAAATAAACAGAATTATATAGAAGTCCAGCAACTCATTTGGCCCCAGGGAAACCCTGCCTGGCTACATTAGAAATGTGCAGGTCATTATAAGTACAAGAGGACAGAAGGGATCTCCTACTTCCAAGTTATAGTGTGTGTTTCGTACTGTGGGTTACATCATTTAGCACATGTGATGCTATAAAGGAAGATGTTGCTGTCCATTTTTTACCTGAAAATTGACTCTCAGGGATGTCAAGTTATTCATCCAAAGCCACAGAGCTACTAAGTGACAGCCAGTCTCGCCATATCCCAACTCTGTGTCCTATCACAAGATAGATTAAGTTGACATCAACTGTGTACTTCTAATATGCACAATAACATATAACTGACCAAAACATAAATTAGCTGAAGTAGATGAAATGTAGAGACAAGAATTAGGTTCTGAATATGAACTGTGTGTTGACTGTCCTCAGTAAGCAGGCATGAGGGGGACAGAAAGTGGCCGCCTGTGGGTGGAGACTCGACCCCAGGTGTGGTGAATGCGAGCTGGGGGGGTCCACTTGCTGTCCCCAACCACCAAATGCATCTCCATCCTGAACCTAGATTTCAGGGCACTTGCTTAGCTCTCAGCCAGCTGCTGCCTCACCCCTGGCCCTTTGCACATGCTGAGTTCTAGAGGAGGAAGGGAAGCTGACAGAAGCATTTTCCACTACTCCTTGAAGAGAAATAATACTCAGAGCTAACAGCAGTGACGCCAGACAGTAACCCACACAGCGACACTGACATGCATTTTACAAGTAAGGGACCAGAGAGAGGGACTGATACTAAGGTACTCGCCCAAGGTCACACTAGGAAGCAGATGCAAAGGATGACTCCAAGCTTCCTGGCTTAAACAGTTGAGTAGATACTAGTGTCCCTGGCTGAGAGGAGGTCTCGTGAGACAGAAAGGTTTGGGGGAGATGAGAGGAAATGATGAATCTGACCTGCTGGTGAGAACGCCCGGCAGTGACGCAACGTGAAGGTCGATGTGTGCCAGAGACAAAGGTGTGAGGACATGGCAGGTGGTGGAGGCAGGAGGGATCTTTGTAGGAAGCATGTACAGGAAGGAGCCGCCGGTACAGAACATGCCGTGACTCTGGAGGTCAGCAGAGGAAAGAATCAGAAAAGAGACTGACTGAGAGGGAGCGGCAAAGAGGGAGGAAGCTCCAAAGTGACCGGCCAGGGCAGAGTGACACGCGCATGTCGCCAGGGACATCACTGGACAGCATCCACTGGGTGGACAACTAGGAGGGCATCGGCCCTTACAAAGAGCCGCTCCATGAGGGATGGAGCTGACCACCGGATGGGGCGGTTCAGAGGCTATAGATGAAGACACCTTAAAAGTGAGTGTAAAGCCAGGGACGTAGCTCGGTAGCACCGCACCTGCCTGGAAAGCACAAGGTCCTGAGTTCAATCCCTGGTTCTGCCAAAAAAACCACAAAAACTGTAAATTCCATAAGGAAGCTTGGTTGTGAAAGGTATTTTTTTAAACCCAGTTATTGGCATTCAACTCTTAACAGATGGTATGAGGCACCGAACCTCATTTCTGTAAGAATTAAAGATCACCGAGGTGCACTGGTGCCCTCAGAATGGGTAAGGGGTGAGATATGTCAAGGAATGTGTGTCCGCCCGGCCGAGGAGTTGGCAGAGCGCTTTTTATTACCGACAGGAGGTGGCCGTGAGCAGTGTCCTTGCGGTTGGAGAAATACCTTGATGAACTCACTCTTTGTATAAATGCTGTGTATGGTGTGCGTGCGTCTGTGTGTGTGTGTGTGTTTGCATATGCATAAAACCACACTTTTGCATAGGTACAGGCAGTGACGATAAGTAATTTCATTGATTCCAAAAGGAAAATTTCCAAGGCTGCAGTCTCGCCTCAGACCTTGGAGGCACTGAGCTAACCCCAACATGGCGCTGTGTTGGACATGTTCTTGGATGTCCTTTTGTTACTCATATTGAGGGTGATTTTCACTTGGGGTTGGGGGGCGAGGGCAACCAAAAGGTGATCAGCTGTGACTGCTGCTGATGAGTGAAACTGAGGCCCAAAATAACAAACGCGCTGTGTGGGCTGCTGGCTTCCTTTGTGAACCCTCTACAGTGCCTCTGGTCTGCTCGCCTGGCTTCCCGGGGCGCTCAGGGCTGGGAGGAGCCCAGCGCTCTCTGATGGACACTCAGAGTGCAGGGCATGGCGTGGCAGCAGCTCTCGCTGCACTGCTGAAGACAGAAGGCAGAGCACAGGAACAAGGAGCCGCCTCACTCTGCACACGTCGCCTTTAGCCTGTGCCTCAGCTGCACTGCGGCTGTGTGGGCTGTGTCGATGGAAACACAGGCCACTGCCAGGGAACCCTGCAGGGTGTGCCCATCAGGGACAGATCTCCCTGTGAGGCCAGCCTGGCCCAGGCCAAAGGTCCCTCGTTTCCTTTGCAGGAAAGAGAGCTAAAAGTGTGTGTGCGTGTGTGCGTGTGTGTGTGTGTCTGTGTGTGTAACATGGACTCAGCATCTGCTCCAGGGTCCTGTTCCAGACAATTGCACTGTTTTGAAGAAGAGACAACACTTGCTTTTAATTCTCATACTGTAAACCTTGCTGATCTGTAAGTCCTACTTGGATTCTGTGTGTATAATGAAGATAGAAGAAAAGAAAAAAGGAAGAGGGAGAGAGGCACGTAAGAGTGAGGGAAGGAAGGAGCCAGGGAGGGAGGGAGGGAGGAAGTCAGGCAGGCAGGTTCCTTTGCGTGGCATTGTGCTGTGCGTGCTCCGTGGTCTTCTGTCCTGTGACGCTGAACTTCCGGAGCATGGTACTCACAGACTGCATCCCATAACACTGCATGACTTATTGCTGTTCTCCTCAATGAAGGAAATGGCATTTTTAGGGTTCCCAGTAAGCTGCATTGGGATGGGACTCGCAACTCAGACTTCCCACTCTGCCAGTCTAAGGTCCTGGGCTGCTCTCTTTCCTAGGCACACCACACGCTCCTGGTGGGAAGACTCTGGAGTGCACGACACCCTCCGGCCAGGCCCTGCCGCCCAGCACCTCGGCCATCCACATGAGCCTGCTGGACATGAAGCGGAACGTGGCTGAGCTCAGGCTGCAGCTGCAGCAGATGAGGCAGCTCCAGGTACAGCACAGAAGCAGCTCTGCCTTAGCGGCCCAGCCAGCTTTCTCCTCCTCCCTCCTCCTGCATCACTGCTGTGCCTCATCTTCCTGGGCTCTTCCTACCACCCCCTTCCCAGGGGCTCACTGAGGAGCCAGCACTCACGACTGTACGCTGGTTCCTCACACCCATAACCCCAGTGTAGAGCTGTCCGCTGAACTGCAGTCTCTGCACCCACTTCTGTAAGCAGTGCATGCTCTCACACACGGAAAAAATGTAAACCTTCGCCATCTGCTTTCGCAAGAGAGCAGAAGGCGAGGAGCCCCAGCCAGGGACACCGCCAGCTCAAGGTGCGTAACTGGCTCCTCCCCTTCCCGGGAGCTGGCGCAAGGTGCTGGATTCAGCCAGGCTTTCTGGCTTTTGCAAGGAACTGCGATGTATTTAAAACCGTGAGTTTAGAATAGATGAATTCATAAGGCAAAAAGCCATGATGGATGATTTATTGGGAAAAACATCTGCATTTTATTCGGATAGTGCATTCTGAGTTCCCCTTACGTTTTTCCTTCGTTAAGTAATACACAAACTATGGAGGGGAAGAAGGGAGGGGAACATAACCCTGCGTGTGATGAGGCTTGGTCCGTAAACCTCAGATCTGATGGGTGGAATACTGTTGTGGCCTGAGGTGGGCCTGCACTGCCTGTCTTTGTCCAGGCCATGTCTTTCAGTCACGTGGTCTCACACATCCACTTTGGTGGTAGGTTGAGCACCGAGAACGCAGCCCTGGTTTAGACTGTGTCTCCTCTGGCAGGGCTAAAGGCAGGCACACCCAGGATTGGGCACTGCTGCACAGGTGTGGACATGCCGGGATGGGAGTGCTTACGGCCGGGACGACCGACCGGAGGGCTGGGAGGGCACTGAGGAGAGAAGGGACAGTCACAGCTCCCTGTCCTGTCCTGTCCTGTCCTGTCCGTCAGTGCAGCAGTGGCGCCTTTCCATCTCCTGATTGGGGCTAAGATAACCATTTCCGAAGGGCAGTTGGTCTGAGAGCCCCGCTCTGGCCCTGGTGTCTGTGGACCATGAAGTTCGGCAGAGCGGATCACACTGTTCAGACCTCCCCTTCTCTCAGATGGCGTCCTCAACCCCTTGCATATGCAGCGTGAATTTGTTTAAATCATTTCTGAGTCACATCATCTGTGATGTTTCCCGTCCCGTGCACGGGCCCCACTTTGCCATTTTAAAGACACTTTGGAACGAAATGAAGTGTTGGGTCGGACTGAGGGTGTGACAGAGGCACGGGACCTCGGCGTCCAGCAGTGCTGTGACAAGTGCGGAGGGCCAAGGCCCCCTCAGAGAGCAGTCGCCTCTCCGTCTGCCCACCTCTTCCCCCGACAGAGCCCACTGTTTCTAGAGGCTTCAGTTTCAGGAGAATCTGGAAATACAGCTTTTTTATGAACTATGTTTAAATGCTGGAAAGTAATTCAGACTCCATTGTTTGGTATCTGAAGCCAAAGGACAGCTCTGCAGGCTGGGAGGGTCTGCTGTGGGGACAGAGGAGAAGCACCTTGCTGGCCGGGACGTCTCAGGGGTGTCAAGTAGATGTGACGCCGTGGCTTGGTGTTTGTGGCTGTGGTACCGCACTGCCGAGACGGGCCCTGTGGCCCTCCTCCCCCAGGCTGACTGGAAGGATCTCTCGTGGTTCACCCTTCTGCAAACCCTTGAACCATGACAGGTCAGGGCAGGACAGACTCTTAACAAAGCGATGCTTTGGTCAAGGTCTAGGAATGCCGTCTTCACCACACACGGTCCTTATTGCTCCAGAAGTGCTCGATTTCTCTGTCTCTGTGGAGATAAAGAACAGTGAGCAAAGTGTACTTCGGAGCTGAGAGTGTACAGTTCCGAGAGCAGGCCCGAGGGCTTTGTTTCCTAACCTGGTTGCTATTGTTTCTCCCTCTGTCTTTGTATTCTCTGCATCCTGTTGGCTTCCTTCCCCCTCAATATTCTGTCTTTTCACATCAGGGGAGTCTATTTAAAACAAAAACAATTCAGAATAATTAAGTGATGGCAGGACCAACTCTCCATTAGGGTACGTATTGTCATACACCAAAAATGGAGCGCAGCCTCAAAGCGATTATAAGCCCAGTAATGGAGCTATCACTAGAGGTACTCAAAACTCTCCAGAAGAGTATCAAAAGAACAAAAATTGAATTAGAAATTCAAATGTTCTTTGAACTGTGTTGTAAAATAGTGAAACTGAATAAAATCTTTTCTGCTTGGCAGCCAGCTCCAGTAATTAGATAATTAAATCATTGGAATATCCTAGACTGTGAACATATCATATTTGAGCATTTCATTTTCAGAATTGATGGATTCTTTTCAGAAATGTGCATGGGATGCAGGCCCTGGCTGGGGGTGAGGTGGGTAGATTTCAGCAGGGCAAAAGGGCTGTCAGGGAGGCGAAGGGACATCAGCAGAAGAGCAAGAGAACAGCTTGACCCTCTTCCCGAAACTCACTGCTCTTCGTCAGTCTAAGAGGGGCTGCCAGTGCTGGCTGCCGGTCAGAACCACCTCAGGCCCTCAGCAGAAACACTACGACTGTGGCACTCGTGCTAGAGTCAGACATCACTGGTGTGGATGAGTGGCTAGGCTGGTTCTCGAACGTTCCAGGGCAAGAACTACTGCTCTCATGCTCAGACCCATGAAGCGCTTGTTGGGAATGTTCGGAATCGTCAGCACTCACGAAGCGGGAGAGAGGAAACAAGTGAGGGAAGTCCACAAGACACAGTGATTGAAGACCTTGACTTCAGGCAAAGCACCTGGTGGCCAGTGGCTCTCCAGCTGTGTCCTGTGCATAGTGATGTGCGGGCACACGCCACGTGGAAGTTGACTGCTGTACTCCCACTCCCAAATAATGGAGGACAACAAAGGAAAAAGGGTCTCGGACTTAACAAATGTTCTCTTCAAAAGATGGCGGTCTTTTTGTCATACCTTTCTTGCTATGATTCTTTTTAAAAACTCACTTTTTCTAAATGATGAATGGCATCTTTTCCCCAAAATGGCTCAGTCCTTAGATTTTGCCAAAATAATTTCAGATCCTCCGAAGTGGCCATACTTCTGTCCCTCTCCATGTGCTGTGGAGAAAAAGTTTCTGAAAGAGATGACTCAGGTTCTGTGGAGGCCAGATAAGATGACTGAAACTGAAAGAATAGGTAGAGTCTGCTTCTCTAAATCTCACATTTTTTTTTCTTGAACTCTCTCTCCTCCTGATTCTGCTTCCTGATAAATAAAAAATTGGGTTATTCTGAACATAATGTTACATCTTTAAGATTCCTGAGAATTTGCTATTGTTTTTTTCAGAGAAGGGAGGATCCAACATAAGAAACAGTACACAGAGCCCTTGTATTTGAAATTAGACACGTTATCTTAATGTGTCTTTTTATAAGATACAGCCTCGAAGGAATGTGTCAAAGTCTCATCTTTTTCATGATATCCAAGGTAATGATCAGGGGAATATGTGTGTCAGAGAAAGGCACACCAGAAGCTGGCCGTGGGAACTGGACCTGTTTTCTCCTGCCAGGCAGAAATAATAAATGGAACTAGCATAGTAGAGTTTGGCCATGAGGCTGGGTACAGAGCAGCCAGCTTTAGCCAGATCTTCAGGCCAGAGGCCATGGTGAAACTCGAGCACCCAGATAACCCAAAGGTGAGCGGGCATCTTTGCCTTCTTCCCTAAGGCTGAGGAGAACATGTCCAGATGGGCAGGAGCCATTCTGCGGTCTGTCATCGGGACGCTTCCCAGATGTTGATGTAACCGCAGCTTGGCAAAATCAGTCCCATCTTACTCTCCACTGTTAGCAAGACTGATTTTCCCTAAGAAATCAAAAATGAGTATATGAAGTACAGGTCTGTTCTGAGGTGCGTGGAATTAGATTTGATCATTTTCCTACTTTGTCCATGAAGTTGGTATGAATAACTCATTTGGTCCAATTAAAATCTTTATGGCCCACAACATTATTTCTAAGTATGATTATAAAAATGTCAAAGGCATTTTCAATAAATTATGCCTCCAGTTTTGAGAGTGTAACTGCAATTCTGCTGGCTGACTTTCCCACGGCTAACAACTGGAGAAGTGAAAAGTATGAGACAACTCCTTTCAGAACCTGGGTGATGGATCTAACACAGAACGGTGGTTCTGAGAAAGGTGGAAACCTAGGAAGTGAAACTCGTAATTGACCCAGGCTTGTGCTGGGGGAATTTGCAGATGTAATGCAGACAGGAACAACCCGGGCAGACAAGGGGCCATCCCACTGAGTGGAGGAGCTCACACCAAGGGATAGAGAGCGGAGGCAGACAGACTTTGTGGAAGGGAGTACCGAATAGAAGAAAGTTTGGTATAGAAGGAGCTGCATAAACCTGTGAGTCTGCTGTTGCATAATAAGCCAAGCGTGCTTAGTATGGAAAGACCAGCAAAGGCCATGGTGGGCTGGGGGATAAGATAAAACTTCTCGGGCTCATACAGGCCTGAGGGCTGCTCCTGTGTTGAGACTGAGAGTGAACACGCCTTGGTGAACACCTGGAAACCCAGTAAATATCCAGGGAAGGCTTTAGGACTAAGCTAGCCCTAAGGGAAGACTACCCAAGATTTGCCCTCGCAAAGCTTGAAAATAAGCCTCTAACAGACAGAGGTATCCACAGTAACTAAAGTGACTGCTGGAGAAAATCCAGAATCTGTAAAGGAAAACAAGAAATCCAAAGCTCCATGCCTAACATCCAGTCAAAAATTACCAGATAGGTGATGATGGTGAAAAAATGTGACCTGTCACCTTAAGAAAATCAGCCAGTAGAAGCCAATATAGCTGGGCGTGGTGGCACAGGCCAGTAATCCCAGCACCTGGGAGGCTGAGGCAAGAGGATCGCTGAGAGTTTGAGCCCAACCTAGGCTACAAGCGAATTTAAGGTCAGCCTGAACCATGTTGTGAGGCCAAGGAAACTAATAGAAGTGACAAGGATAATGCAATTGACCATGAAGTCTTCAAAACAGCTATTATAATTATTCTTAAGGATTTAAAGGCACATAATGAAACAAGAAATGGAAGATATAAAATGTATGTAAGTAGATCTTTCAAGAGTTGAAAAATACAATATCTGAACGGACTTAGGCACTGTCCAACAAAATATTAGTAAACTTGAAAACACAGCAATAGAAACTTTCCAAACTGAAGTATAAGAAGGAAATGAACTGAAATTTAGTGACATGTAAAACAATATTAAGAGTTCAGTGGAGAAGAGAAAAATATGCAAGAGATAATGGCTACAGTTTTCCCAAATTTGATAGAAGCTATAAAGCCACAGAACAAAGCTCAACAAGACCTAGACTAGTAAACACAAAGGAAACCACACAAAAGAATGTCATAATCAAATGCCTAAAAACCAGGGATAAATATGGCTGGGGATTTAGTTCAGTGGACAGTCCTGCCTGGCAAGTGTGAAGCCTCTGAATTCAATTCCCAGTATCCAAAAAAAAAAAACCCAATCAGGGATAATATAAAAATCTTTAAAGCAACCCAAAGGGGGAAAACAGACAGTTCATATAGGGAAACGTAAGTAAGAATTAATACTTATTTCTCATCAGAAAAGACAAGTTAGAAGACAATAGAATGACATCTTTAGAAAAATTTTTTTAAAACCTTTTTCATAAAATAAAAAAACTTTCCAAGTGACTTTGTGCAGCCAGTATTACCCTAAAAACAAAACCAGACAGAGATGTTATAATCAAAGAAAACCTCAGGCCAGTGTCCTTCATGAAAACAGATGTAACAAATCCTTAACAAAATAATAGCAATGAAATCCAGTGATGTATAAAAGGATAGTACATATCCTAGGAATGCCACTTTATTGCAGTATGGAAAAAAGTAATGAAATTGACCTTATTCATAGAATAAAGGAGGAAAAAAATCATATCATTTCAATAAACACAGGAAAAGCATGTGACATGTTTACCATTGGTGCTAAAAAGCCTAAGGAATTTGGGAGAAGGGAACCTCTTTAACCTATGGAAGACACTGTTGTGATGGTGAAACACCAACCACATTCCCCATGAAATCAGGAATAAGGCCAAGGGAATCTACTCTCACTTCTGGGTGACACTGTACTGAAGACTAGCAAATACTAAAAGCTAAAAAAAGAAATAGAAACACACAGATGGGAAAGTAAATTGTGTAATTGGCTTTACTGTACTCACAGATGATGAGATTGAATACTTGTAAAGTCAAAAGGAAGCTATAAAAAAAATCAGAAATAAGTGAAGTTAGTAAGATCACCAGAATGCAGTCAATATATAAAAATATGATGTTTTTGGTATATCTGTACAATGGGATATCACTCAGCAGTAAAAGAATGAATTACTGAAACTCAACAATATGGCTAGGGTCGCAAAAGCAGTGCACTGTCCCAGGGCCAAGGCTGAGCGATAGAAGGCTTGCCTAGCGTGTCTGAGGCCCTGGCCTCCATCCCCAGCACTCTGAAATAGGGAAACCAAACCGCGTACTGAATGAACAAAGCCAGACACAGAGGAGCATGAACTGTATAAATCCACTTACAAGACAGTCGAGGACAGGAAGAGCTAATCTCTAATAACAGATACCAGACTGGTGGTTTCCTTGGGCTGAGACTTGGGGACTGATGGCAAATGATCATGAAAGAAATTTTTGGAGTGATGAGACATGTTACAGTATCTGGGTTTTTAAGGCTTCTTACCCCAGTGTAAAAATTAGACAAAACTCAAGCAGCTGTGACTTAATGCCTCCACAGATTGATTTTATTTTATTATTTAATTTTTATTTATTTATTTTTTTTGGTACCGGGGATAGAACTCAGGACCTTGTGCTAGCGAGGCAGCCCCCCGCCCCAAGCCCCTCCACACATAGATTTTAAAAAGCAGAACCGTTGAATGTAAGCACCACCTCCTAAACAAAAGTAAATCCATAATCTGGGGTCCTGCTCACCAGTTATTCAGGGCATCTGGGGAGACACAGATCCACTCCCTGCCTTCTGCACTTCTCCTTTTCCAGCCCCTCTTCCTGGGAAGGAGGAAAATAAAACCTAGAGCTCTAGGGGAGTCCCTCCCTCCCTCCCTCTTCTAGTGCAGTGAGTTGCACTTGAATGTTCCACACAGTTGCATTCTTCCAATATGTGTGCACCTGTAGCCTTCCCGAAAAAGCTGAGATTCCTTCATAGGACAGAGAGAAACCGGATCCCTGCTATGTGCCAGGAAGTGTGCTGCAGCGGGAACGGCACACACTGCTCCCTGGGTTTGACAGAAGGGCAGCTTCGGGTGCTGGGCAAGTGACGGGTTGAACTCAAAGGACCATGAACCGGACCTGCCAAATGACCCTGAACAGTTACCTCACCTCTCAAGGGATTCAATTCTCCTGACTTTGAAATTTCCATTTTAAGAATTTTAAATATTTAAATTTCCCAGCAATATTTCTAGCTTGAAAGCCATTGATAATATCGACTGCTGAAGAGACAGCAGTGTACTTGAGCTCGCTTGTGGATTTGGGCAGCAGGGTTGGCAACAGAAGCCTGTGCCCCACGGATCACGGCGACTGATGTCCTCTGTCCCTTTGAGACCCTTTTCCTAGATCCTGATCCCGTCCTTGGTGGGAAATCAGTCACCTGAGGAGGTTAAAGCGTCCGTGTTCATGCTGTACCTCAGGATGATTAAATCAGAATCTTTCAAGGGTGGGACCCAGGCGTGCATAACTTTTAGACCTGTTGAATGATCCGCTTCCTGGTCCCCAACTAGCCCTTCCTCCCTCCCACGCCATTGAATTGAAGCCTCCCATTCCCATAGCAGGGAGTGCTGTGTGCATTTAACTGAGCCATTCAGTGCTGCCCTGGAATCCGGCCCCAGGGCTGTAGTCAGAGCCGGGTAGAGAAGTCCAACTGAGCTCGAGGCCAGTTTGAGCCATGGCCACTCCATATTTCAACCCTTTAGATGACAACTGGATTCTCCACTGTTCTCTCGCATCATCAACATTGCTGCTTATTAAGTGTATTTGACAGATATTTACTGAGTTTGTGCTATGTACTATGTGTTCTGGACGCTTTGGAGAGCAGAAGTTAACCAGGTGGAGGGAAGACCATTTCAAGAGGCAAAAAGAGCAGGTGCCAAGTCCCTGTGGCAGAAAGGAGCTTGGCCAGTCGGAAAAGCTGAGGGATGCAGGTGTGGCTGGCCGCCTGTAGTGAGGTGAGAACAGCCGTGTGGGTAAAGGCCGGGTGGACAGGACGGGGCCGCAGAGAGCACAGCAACAGTTGTGTACTGTGCAGTCTCCAGATGGGAGACATTCAGCAACACATGGTGACTGGTTTTAAGACCACAATAAAAAGACATTAGCACAAGCAGTGTGAGGACACGGTCATGAGTCACACAGGGAGGTTCACCCAGGGTGGCACATTTGTACTTGGCTCCTCCCAGACGCAACCACAGGCTCACCCCCGTTTCTGCTCCCCAATAACAACAGCTGGGGTGTGCTCAGCTAAACTCCTGCCAGGTGCTGTCATGAACAGTGTGTGTTGTCTCGCTAGGTCTCCTCTCCGGGCCAAGAGCTATGGACTGCTACCTGCCTCTGCATCTAGGCACAGATTGCTACAGTGACTCGCCTGTGGTCACACAGCTCCTACCAAGTGGTAAAACGAGAAACTGAAGCCAGGCTCTCTCTCTCTCTCTCTCTCTCCAGGCTGGGCTGTCATCAGGCCGTGCAGGTGTTGGAACCCACTAGGGGCTTTGCTTGTGGCCCAGGTTAAAATGTCTTTATTTAGAGAACACAGAAGCCGTGATGAGGCTTCCAGCCAGGGGTACCATGGTCAGATGGCATATTCGTGCAGTGTGGACAGAGCATGGGCAGTCAATGAGACGTCCTCCCTCCCGGAAGTGGTGTTGTAGTAGCTGGAGAACAGTGTATGAAACCCAGAAACAGAGGACACAATTGAGTCGTCAGTTGATATTTCAGGGGCACTTCAGGACTAATATAATAAGTAAACATAATCGCTGCTGCTAAGGCTGATCGCGGGGATTATGTGATGGATGCTGTGTCAGAAAGCTGTCCTGCCCCGGGGACTCCTTGTTTCCCTGGCTCTTGCAGCCTGGACGTAAATATGCACATCCCGTGTCTCTGGGATGAGCACGCGGTATTGCAAGGGTCTGTGAGTCTGAGGTGTCGGTACGGGGAGTCATGAGCGAGGGAGCGCAGATTCCCTTTCAGCTGGCACTGGAATAGCCCACGGCTGAGCCAACGTTTGTGGAGTGTTCTGTGGCAGGTACCTCGAGGAGCCCGTGCGTGCTAAGGAAAGTAGATTGGAGGGAAATGGAGGGCATGAAAGCCCCAGTAAGATGCTTCAGTTCTCACAGTGGCGGCGGAGAAAGTTTGGGGAGTGACCCCCAAAGTCTACCAGCGCCAAAGCGAGTGTTCTTGGCTGCTCTTTAAAAGAAAATGTCCATGAGAGTTGCACCCTGTGTCCATTCGCAGTAAAAGGGTCCTATTTTCTGCAGACACAGAGAGTCCACACAAATGGCGTCCATTTGTCCACTGTCTGCTGAAACTCAGAGGTTGAGTGAAGAAGCCATGGTGTACACCCTTCCCTTTCTCACAGAAATGAATAAATGCTCAGCTGGAGGCTGTCACTCCAGTCCACGTCTGAGGACCACGTCAGGCAGGTAGAACCACTCAAGACTGATTTCTTTTGTTCAACAGCTGCAGAACCAGGAGCTGCTGAGGGCGATGCTGAAGAAGGCTGAGCTGGAAATCAGTAGCAAAGTGATGGAAACCATGAAGAGGCTGGAGGACCCGGCGCAGCGACAGCGCACCCTGGTGGAGCAAGAGAGACAAAAGTATCTTCGCGAAGAGGAGCGGATTGTCAAGAAGTTAGGGTGAGTGGCAGTGCCTGGTTTCCAGTCTGTTCAGCCTGAAAAGGAAAACTGTCTTTGTGTTTGTTCTTCTTTGTTTTCTCCATGGCTCTGTACTGAACCCCTCCTCTGGACAAGTCAGAGTCCTTCGGGTCCTGGTGACCACGAACCCCAATATCTCTGCATCCAAGCCTGAGAGAGCAAGAGCCCCAGTGCCTGAGCCAGTTTCTCTGCAGATTGGGGTGTCACCCTTTCCTGGGGCTCAGCGGCACATGAAATTAAAAGAAGCAAATGGCAAAACCTAGTGATGAGTAGGAAGTCTGTGTTTAATCTCGATAAATTAAAACTAATGGCCAAAAGAACACAGCACTGAAATTATCCTCATTGTTCAATGGTAGTTAAAAATCGCAGAAGAATTTCCATGTGAAATGTGTCTGATCTGGAGTGAACAATGCCTCCTTGGCTGTTACCAATCTTACATAAGGTCTTTATTGAAAGCATCGACCGAGTCACTGTTGACCTTTTTTTTTTTTGGTACCGGGGATCAAACTCGGATCCTTGCCTTGCTCTTGTGCAGCAGGCGCCTAAACCACTGAGCTAAATCCCCGGCCCTCCGAGTCACTGTTGAAATCAGCAGAGTTTTATTACTTCCCCACAGGAGGCAGCCCCATCTTTCATGTAATATATGTTTTGTTGCTTGTGCAACAAAAGTTTATCCTAGAACTATTTCACCTTTTAGTACAATGAATAGGAATTTTGTAGGTTCCTCTATTGTTGGTAACTCTCCTTTTGCTTGGAAGGCTTAAATCTCCCAAAGTGGGATTATAAAGGAGCAACTTTCAAATTCATCTCATGGCCAGGGTAACCAGAAGTGGTGGAAGTGCCCGGTCCCACAGCTTAGCTCCTATCCAAGCCCGGCTTACAGCATCCTGGTTCCAGTCCCAGAGTTTGATTCACATGGGTGTCACTCGTGGCAGTCTAGAGGGGAAAAAGTGAACTTGAGCTACCATTTCCTAATAAATTAAATTAGACCACTATTCATTCACATCTCAAAATAGCTTCTCAATTTTTACTTAGTTTGTACATTTATAGAGTGAATCACCTACCATGAGTTAATGAGTCTATTATTTATCTGAAATATTTTGTGACATTCTGCTTACTCAAAAGTAGGTTTAGGGCTGGGGACTTAGCTCAGTGGTTTCACCACCTGCTGTGCAAGCGCAAGGACCCGAGTTTGATCCCTGGTACTCAAAAATAAATAAATAAATAAAATAAAAATTAAAAGTAGGTTTAATGATTTATCTTTCAAACTTCGGTATAGCCACTTATATTTGTAAAAGTTTTCTAGTAAAATGATGAAAATGTGAGAAGTTCTTTCCTTTAAAATTTGTGGGTTTTGGTTTGCTAAAATAACTCTTGCTTCTGGTGTTTAGAAAAGGCATCTCTAACCCCAGTTCGAGTCCTGAGGCTAGTAGCTCAGGATAGGAATGAGATAGGAAGGATAAGGGGGAAAAGGGATCCTAAGAGGGTTTTATCTGCCTGGCTTTGTGAGCTGGCCGTGAGTGAATAAGGTGAGCTTGTGCACAGGGCACTTGAACTCTACCAAGCAGAACATAAAGGTGGTACAGCGCATGGCTGGTGATTTATGTGTGCCAGGTGAACCTGCACAAAGGAAAGACTGCTTCTGAGCCCAGGGGTCAGAAACATCAGGCCTGGGTTAGTTATTTTCCATGTGCCCCACAGGCCAACCACGGCACCATGCACACAATAGTTTCAGAAGCTGTTAAACTGCGCTGAGATGACTTTGAAATTGGTGGATTTCATCACAGAGCCTAGAGATCCCCCAAGGCCGAGGATTCATGTAAACCGACAGCGCTACAGACCAGGAACAAGAGAGGACGTGCTTGGAGAACTAGGGATAGACCAGTGTCGCAGAATAATCGGGTGCAAGATGCGAATGATGTGTCACACTTGGGTTGTGCCGTTCCTCTTTTCGTGCTGTCTTGCTGAACCTTAGCCCATCCTCCGACCGTGGACTCCGCCTAAGGCCAGTCCGGGCTGTGCTGACCAACACTGGAAGCCCCGTTAAACCTAGATTTCTGATTTCCATGGAAGCCCCTAGGCCCAACCCCACATCCAGAATTTCTCTTGTGGAACTTAGACAAAGCCACGTGGGTGACGCTGAAGCAGCGTCACATGAGGAGGAGGTTGCTGAAGGATTTTTGATCGGGGAGGTAGGAGAGCGAGGGCTGTGCTTTCCAGAGGCTGCTCTGTGGGTCCTGTGCAGGACTGATGGGAGGAAGAGAGGTCGGACCACACAGGAAGCCACTGTGACCATCCAGACACAAGGCAGTAGAAGTAGCAACAAGAAAAGAGGTCAAGGGCAAAAAATAAATACATAAAGTGTATCTTTTTAATATCTGTGTTCAGTTTCCTTATACCTTATAAAAGGTGTACCTGCACAGGTCCGCCTAGTGAGAAGGCACAGATTATAAAAGACAGCCAGAAACTCCAACTCCGGGAGATGAGGAGATTCTAATCACGCTCCGTTCCTCTTCTTCCGCTTGTGCCCCAAAAGTAAGTTCCTTTCGTGCTGGCAAAGCAGTCAGGAGTGCAGAGAGATGAAATTTGGGTCTAAAATGAGGGACAGAAAGTGGGTCAAGATTATCTCTCTTTCTCTTCTGTTTTTTGTTTGTTTTTTTTTTAAAAACAGGGAAATAATAGTTGGACTTCTATTAACAGTCAGATGAAATGTATTTTAACAAGCTAAATGCTTCTTTTAACAAAGGTAGAATGAAAAGTAAAACAATCGGGACACTGTAAACTGCGGCGTCTGTGCACGTCTGACCCTCTGCAGAGGAGCCGGCACTTCACTGAGCACTGTATCAAGCGATGTTCCGCACTGATGTGCAGCTCCATGGTCCCTTTTCGTTTTGAATTAGCAGATGTATCTTCACTGCTTCATCTAAGTAGCTTTCGTAAGCACGTGAACCGCAAGGACACCACTGTTTAATAGCAGCATCGTGTTGAAAGTCCGTGTTGCACAGCGAAGGAAAGCCGTGTGTTGGGCGTCTCCTGCGTGCAGGCTGGGAAGTCCGGGAGGCTCATTGTGTAGAAGAGATCTGAACGTAGGTTTCAGCGCGGTGACTCTGGGTCAGATGGCAGCTGCTCACAGGGTTGGCTGCACACGGACAGACTTGCGGGTCGTGCATGGAACCATAGCAGGATTTGGGCCGGAGCGCGTCCGTGGGAGGTTGGCTGGGTGTGCAGCCAGAGCATTCTGTTCAGAAGCAAATTCCGTCCAGGCCTGCGTGGGAGAGAATGCCTCTCAGCAGGTCTTAGGAGAGACAGCACGGTCTCCCCACCACAAGGGGGAGCAGCCCCGGGAGTGCCTCACAGGGCATGCCTCCCATTGCTCTCAGAAGGGGCCACCGAGCAGGAGCAGGCGAGGCTTCCCTTTCGGTCCTGAAAGGACATCCTTTTAGCAGCAATGGCTAAAAGCCTTTGCCGTAACAGAACGCACGTCACTAAATGTGCTGTCCCACTCCCTAGAGGTGGGGGACTTTGTCATCTGCCCCACGGTCGCATCCTGGCTGACCCCTTTCTGTGGCTGCCTGGTGCCACCCCCTTGCTCACCCTTGGGCAGGCTCTTCCGTCTCTTCGCAGGTGACACTGCCTTCCCTCGGCTCTGCCCGGCCCCTTGACCAGGCTCCAGGAGGCCGAGTCGCTGTTCACTTACTGCCACCTAGTGGTGCTGCGTCTCCTGCAGCCTTTCCCTTAGTCTTAAGAAACCTTTTCTCTTGCTGGATTCACAGGCAAGCTGAAATGGTACAAATGGAAGTTTAGGCTGGTTAGTAATGTGTGGGGACGGTTGTCACTTACATTGTTTCGAGTGGAGCTGGCCTCTCCCTACACATGCACACACACACCAGAAATGAGACCTGTAGTCATTTCTTCTCTTTGTAGCGTGGAGAGGAAAGAGCCCATCCCCAGTCGGGGACAGTTTAGCTGTCTCTCTCCAAGGGCACTTGACAGTGACCAGAGACGGTCTTGATTGTCACACAGTGCAGGGGACAGGACGAAGGACTACTTGTGCCTAAATAGGCAGAGGCCAGAGCTGCTGCCAAACATCTGAGTGCACAGAACGGCCCCTCACGAGAGGAATTTGGCCCAGGATGTCAAAGAGCAAAGTTGAGAAGACTTCTCACTTTACTCTCCTGTGAGTTTATGTACACACCCTCCCCATCTCTGTGTGTCCTTGTCCCTTGTCACACGTCCCCCCTTAGGTGGCATCAGCACCACCAAACTGAAGAATGCTTTCCAGACAAGGGCCACCTCCGCACACGAGCCTGGGAAAGCTGTCTTGTCCCCGCCATAGCCCTCCAAGGCTGGCCGCAGTGGGCCGTCCGCTGCTGTGCTAACTGCTCCCCCGGTCTCAGGAGAGGCTCTGGAGGGGCAGGGGCCCAGGGCACAGTTGGGGGCCAGGTGAGCAGGCGCCTCTCGAGCCTGGCGTACCCAGGGCTTCTGCATCCGGCTCCATCTTCGACTCTGCTTCTCCCCACAGCGAGCTGGAAAACTTTGTGGAAGACTTGAAGAAGGACTCTTCTTCCGCTGGCCGAGTGGTCACTCTAAAGGCCGTGGAGGATGGGGCCTTCCTCCTGCGACAAGTGGGAGAAGCCGTAGCTACCCTGAAAGGTGAGTAAAGTCCTGCTGAAGGGGAGGAGGCCGGAAGTGTGTTTCCCTGGATGTTTAAAAACCTGTCAAATATGTGCAGTGTGGTGACACATGCCTGCAGCCCTGGCTGCTTGGGAAACTGAGGCAGGAGCATCCCTTGGGCCCAGGAGTTCAAGACCAGACTGGGCAACACAGTAAGACGCCATCTCAAAAAAACACAAAACAATTCATCAAATAGTAAAGGATTCATTCGTGCATGCATGCAAATCTTTATCAACACCTACCCACGCCAGGCGCTCACCTGGGACACATTACAGAACAAGGCAGGCAAACATTCCTGTCTTCTTAGAGCTTATGTGGGTGCCTTAAGAGTTCAGACTAAACAAGACCTTGGACACATTCTACTCGCTTTTATATGAGCTGGGCTTTTATATTAGGGGTGTGCCAGGACCCCTGCGGCAAGCTCATTAAAAACCACAGGTTCAGGCCTGGGATCTAGCTCAGTGGTTTCGCCGCCTGCTGCGCAAGCGTGAGGACCTGAGTTCGATCCCCGGTACAAAAAAACACACAGAAAACCCAAAAAAAACACCACAAGCTCAGTTGGCCTTTCCCCAAATACCCAGGAAATGGGAATGGGCTGAGGGGGATGGCGACTTTGCCCAAGGTCACCCGACCAGACCCTCTTCTTGCTCTCTCCTGCGCCCATGCACACGTGAACTCCACACCTGTGGGCGCTTCCGGATGTCAGGGTAGTGGATGGGGTGCTCTGGCCTTTCCTCCTACCTCTCACCGGCGGGTTTGGTCTGCAGGAGAATTTCCAACCCTACAAAACAAGATGCGCGCCGTCCTGCGCATAGAGGTGGAGGCGGTGCGCTTTCTGAAGGAGGAGCCGCACAAGCTGGACAGCCTCCTGAAGCGTGTGCGGAGCATGACAGACGTCCTCACCGTGCTGCGGAGGTGAGGCGGTGGGCAGGGGTGGCGCCTGCAGGGTGCTAGTGGACGGGCAGTACAGGTTTTGCACCTGATTTCGGCCGCCCGAAGGCAGTGCCTTCTGTGCAGCGACCTGGGACGTCTGACGTGGCTCCCCTCGCCCCCAGCTCTGTTGCAGGAGGGTGTGAGGTTGCAGTTCTTCGCCACAGACGTGCACACCATGCTCCTCCTAGAGTTTACAGTGAACAGACACCGGCTGGGTTGTGGCTCAGTGTACAGCACTTGCCTCGCATGCACGAGGCCCTGGATTCAATCCCCAGAGCCACAAAATGATTTAGTGTAAAAATAAAGTTAGTGGACACAGTAAACATTTTTTAAAAATCAATTGAAGGTGAGCGTTTGGGGACACTTTGAAGTTGAAGAATGGATTAAAATAGTTTCCTAGCCTGCTTCGCTTCAGAAACACCAATGGTCAATTGGAATAAAGTGAGTGGCAATGAATAAATCTTCCTTCAGTTCCCGTCTGAAAGCGTACCTGAGAGTTTATTGGTGCCGCCTAGAAAGGAGATTTAAATCCCCGTGAGTGGGCTAGGCGGGCCTCCTCATGGACAGGTGTGCTTACCAAAGAGGGTAACTGCGGAGGAAAGACCGAGAGAAGTCTCTGGCTGCTCCCTGACTTCCAGGGGAAAGAAGTTCCAGAACTCCACACCTGCCGACAGAAGTGCCTGCAAGGGCAAGTGTGTCGCTCAGGGGTAGAGCAACAGCCTGGCAAGCACTGGGCTGGGCTCCATCTTCAGCACCACAAAAAAGACAGGGAGAGAGGGAAGAAAGGAAGGAAGGAAATGTTGCTACATCTAAGTATGCAAGATTTGTGCTGCCACAGCACCTTTGTAAATGACTCCCCTCTGCCATGCGCACTGTCTCTGGGTTACACTTAGATCTCTTTCTTCCCAGCCTAACAGTAAAAATAACGTACACGTTTGAGCGTGTTCTCTGCCCCAGGTACTGAACTGAGCCCCTTCCTTGCCTTAGCTCGTGTAGTCCAGGAGCTGATGTTTGCGAGGCAGGTGGCAGAACCACTAAGCTAAATCCCCAGCCCTTAGGAGCTGATGTTTCCCTTACTTGTAGGTGGAATCTGAGGCTTGGGAACTTTGACTGTGAGTCAGGTGGGGCTGGGTGGGAGCCAGTAGTTTCACTCCAGAGTGGAGACTGCCTCCTATCTCGGAGCCAGGAGCCGGGAAAATTAGGGCGTTCTCTCTGTGCTGCCTTCCCTGCCTGCCGGCCCGGGCCAGGGCGCCGTGATAAACAAGGACAGTGAGGTCCCTGCCCTTACAAAACTTACTCTCTCACCAGGGGATTATTGGTCTCTGCCAACAACCAGAATAAACCACTTCCCAATAGTGGCAGCCCCTGAGATTTTAGCGGAGTTTTGGGGTTATTTTTGTTCTTTAACAGGACTGGGAAAGTGTAGAGTAGTTAGCATCTTGGACCAGATTTTTGAGTAGATCCCACACAGAAGTAACAGGCAAAGAAACTTTCCCTTGGGAATTTTAATCGCCAGCTGTCATCACGTGATCAGCCTTATGCGAAGAGTTAGAGTATCCTACACCGAGCTGCTTGCTTCTTGTCACCCAGACAGCGAAGGGCTGGCATCCGTCCGGGCAGGCCCCACACTCTCCTGAGAAAGGCCTGGAACCCCATCTGAGAGAGCACTAGGGTGCCGGACAGGCCTTTAGGACGTTGTTATAGAAACCCTCACCCCTGAGCTGCTGCTCTGGGTTTTGGATGTTTGCATCTCACCTGGCTCTGGGGTGCGTGACCTCGAGCGCCCCAGAATAAGCCGGAAGTGACGTGTGGGCGGTTGACGCTGCTGTGCGTGTTTTCTCCTAGGCGTGTCACCGACGGGCTCCTGAAGGGCACAGACGCAACCCAAGCCGCGCAGTACATGGCTATGGAAAAGGCCACAGCGGCAGAAGTCCTGAAGGATCAGGAGGAGGCGGCCCCTGCCCCCGGCCAGCCCCGCCAGTGCCCCGGCGCCCCTGGGGAAGTGAGGGCGGAAGTGCTGGGCCTGTCCGCCACAACGCCTCACCGCGCCCCTGGGGAAGTGAGGGCGGAAGTGCTGGGCCTGTCCGCCACAACGCCTCACCGCGCCCCTGGGGAAGTGAGGGCGGAAGTGCTGGGCCTGTCCGCCACGACTCCTCACCGCACGCAGAGCTCTCCCGTGGTCGTCCAGCCCTCCCAGCGCTCCTTGGCTCTGCCGAACCCCGCCCAGAGCATGCCCGCCGGGGGCCCTGACCCATACACGGCCAGCCCTCCGGGGCTCAAGCCGGAAGTCGCCCCTGCCGCGCAGTCCCCTCAGGCACCCGTCGGTGGGGCCGCCACGCAGAGCCTGTTCATTGAGGAAATCCACAGTGCGAGTGCCAAGAACAGGGCCGTGTCCATCGAGGTAGCGTCCCATTTCCGCTTCTTAGGACGCCAGAAACAACCCTTTCCCTCAGTGAGCTCTCAGTCTGGATGGAGAGATGATATATTTGAGCACTGTGTAGGTCACAGATGTTTTCATCAAGGACAGATTTTTAGGACTAGAAACGGGATTCCGTAGGGTAAGGGAAGGATCATCCGAACCTGTAATAAGCTGAGTCACTGGGGTGCGGATGAGTGTTTGACAGCTGGCTCTCTTGGAGAAAGCTCCGATTCCTAGCACTTGCCGATTTCCATGGTGTAAATACTCCCACCGTGGCTGATGCAGCCTCTCAGTGACATCACTGAGCAGGAACTTAGAGAGGATAGGCCGTCTGAGGATACTGAGCCAGCGAGTGCTGCTGGCTGAAGCTTCCAGCATGCTGCAGGCAGACCTGGGAGGGTTTGTCGGGAATCCTGGAAGATAGGAGAACTGGGATGAGCAGAGAAGGGTGTCAGGGCGTTCTGGGATGGAGGGATGCCGGAGGGATGGTCATTTAAAATAAATAGAGGTACTTTAAAATATTTTAATATGTTGATCGTGAAACTTGGTGACACGTACAGGTCACCTACATACTCCCCTCGAACTTTATAACTAAGCCAATGGGATCCAGATGGTCAGGTGGCAGTCTTGGACAGAAGTAGAACTAAGAGGATGTTTACTCATTAAATTTACTTTTAACCTATACATTAAAACAGTAATTACACATATTAATTGAGCTCCGTGTGATATAATCAGGACATAGAATCTTTTGTTATTGTTAGTGTGTGTTCTGGGTTTTATTCATTTATTTGAACACCTCGTTACTGAAAATTCAATTTGAAAAACAAAAATATGGTAGTGGAAGACAAACCTTTGACAGCATTATCTGTGTCCCTTGTTACTTAGTGTTGGAGAAATGTATGGCAAGTGCTCAGGGATTTAAGGAATGGATTGGGGTTTCTGAGCTTGCTTCTCTGTGGATGAATGTCCCTGGGCTGAAACCAGAGCCCATGTAGCCCCCTGTGGTAGGTGGCAGAAGGCCGGCAGGGGGCCCTGTCCCCACACATGTCCCACAGATGGAAACCAGGGCATTGTCTTACTGACACTTTCACTGAGCTACCCTCCTTTCTCCTCTGATGTGAAATCTCCAAACTAACATGTCTTTTCCCTCTGGTTTTTAAACTTTCTTCACTTGCCATTTTCCTTCAGAAAGCAGAAAGGAAATGGGAAGAGAAAAGGCAAAATCTGGAGCACTATAATGGGAAAGAGTTTGAGAAGCTGCTGGAAGAAGCTCAGGCTAACATCATGAAGTCGATTCCAAACCTAGAGATGCCACCGAAGGGGGATGCCCCAGTGGAGAAGCCAGAGCTGTCAGGTGAGGTCAGGGCTGGAGCAGACGCCTCAAGAGCAAGGTCGGGTGACTGTCCTCAGTCTGGTTTCGTCCGCATGTTCGTACTGGACAGTGAGACCAGTGTCCCACTTCTTAAGAGTGAACCCCAGGTGTCCCCTGGGTCCTCTGACATTTTAGCTCTCCCCACAGCAGGGGAGCCATGTTCCATATTGGCATTTAGAACAGCATCCAGTAAAGGAAGACGTAAATTCCCAGCTTCAGCATTTCCTACAGATGTGCCGTATATCACAGCACCAGCTGGGAGAATCTGAGGTCTGCATTTGAGATAGGAAAGGGAATGGCAGCTCTTGTGCGTGCCCCAGGGCATGCTAGAGCACTTTTTAAATTGCAATTTTTAAAGCAACATGCTTAGAATACACAGTGGCACCTTGGTTCACAGACTTAATTCTTTCTGTGATTCTAGTTGGAGAATTTGTTCTACAGTTCTGGTTGTGACCAAATTGCAAGCAACCAACTCAAGTTGTGGAAGTTTAAACAACAACATGTCAGTAATAACACAAAATACTGTTGTATTATGGCCAACAGTGGGCCATATAAGCCTGCTGGCCTCATGAGATTCCACGGCCCAGCGAGGTGGTCACCATCTTAATTTATGTAGCTACAGTTTGTGTACACGCACTCTGGTGTTTACATGTCAACAAAATTGCCTAGGGACACATTTCTCAGAATGCACCCCTGTCATTAAGTGTATCTTTCACAGAACTCAAGCTATTAGATCTTCCACCAGTGCCAAGCCATGGCTTGATTCTGATCTTAAAATCATGCTATTTTACTTGCAGCCTAATGTTGCTTCAATGTCCTGTTCAATGGTGCCTTGTCCAGCAACTGACATTAATTTGAACAGGAATTGCCTTCTTACCCACCGTGACAAGGCACAGCGACTGGGTTTGATTTATACCGACTGGAATCCCTCCCATGGGCCTGGAGTTCCAGCTGACACCATCTCCAGGTCTCCTCTGAGACTTTGTCCCTCTTCCCACTTTTCCCCTGGGGGCCCTGGACGGCCAGGCAGAAACCTCCCGGAGAGGACAGGGCTGGAAGGGACGGTTCTTCTCTCACAAAGATGGCTTTGGTCCCGATCCCTGTCCACCCAATTTCTGATGGATAAAATAGCCCACTTGGTTACATTTCTGTCTTGCATAATTCTGTCCTCCGTTATTAATTTTGCCCTGTAGTCCGTCAGTGCAATTCTCACAATTGTTCCTTCTCATGCTTGTACAATGGAATTGTCGCATTACATTTTTTTTAAGTTACCCTCCTTTTCACTTTTTACTTTCAGATGGAAAACATTTTTACCCAAATTTTAAAAATTACTTCCAACAGTATTTTTGCTCCATTAAAATGTTCATGCCCTCCTCTTCCTCCTCCCTTTCCCTTCCTCTTCCTCCTCCTCCTCCTCCTTCTTTAATGCACACTCTGATTTCTTCTCAGAAATAGTCCACTGATGTCCAGGTCTCCAGGAATGTAAGAAGACATCATCCATTACCTGTAAACGTTGGTTTCTGTCATTTTCATCCATTTGCCAATGATGTTACTGTTTTACATATTTGTGTTTATTAATGAAGTAAAATTCTACATGTGAGGTTTTAAAAGCCATTCGTATTTGTTCTGGTATTGTCTGATTACTTAAATAAACAATATAAACCTATCAAAAAGATAATGGAAATTTAGGGACTGCAACCTCGGCCATTGTTCAAAAACATTTTCACTGGATACTTTGTTAAAAGAGCAAGGAAGCTTTATTCAAGACCCTTGCAGTAGGGAGTAGAGATAACAAGAGTGGTGGGCCGGGGATGTAGCTCAGTGGTTCCACTGCCTGCCTCGCAAGCACAAGGTCCCAAGTTCAATCCCCGGTACCAAAAAAAAAACAAAAGAGCAAGAATGGAGAGAGTCTTGCTGACATGACGCAGCCCGAGTCTCTGCTAAAAATAAGCTCAGTGACCAAGGTGAGGAGGCCCAGAAGAGAGGCGAGGACGCCCCCTGCTGGGCTGCGGCCCCTTCACAGCTGCCACGGAGCACCCAGTGCTGGTGCACGAGAGTCACTTGCTTGTGGCCCTGATGATTTACCCAGGTCTAACCAGAGATTCAGGAATTTCCTTGAGACAACTCAGTCTCGGTTTCCCAGAGAAGAAAGGCACTCCTAGAGAGCCAGGCCACGTTCTGGAGAGAGGAGGGACAGAGCTCCAGATCCTGAACTGCAAGTTCTCGTGGCTCCCTGAGCCTTCCGGTCAGATGCAGATAAAAAGCAGAAATGGGACCGTTAAGGTGCCATTTGCGTAAGGATGAGCCTGCATGCCAGGGGAAACTGAGGCACCTCCCACTCCTCCTAACTTGAGTGATAAAGACTCCTTTACCCCTCTCTGCTGCTCCTCTTGTTAGCAAAGAGTCTTTTCCAAGCACATTTCTGTGACCCTCCACACACACCCCAAAACCGAATTCCTCTCTGGTTTTGTTCTTTATTCCCATTTCCTCTCTGGCCCTCCCTTGGCCAGATCCACTCTAACATTCCCCTGCGTGAATGCTCCTTGATAGAGCTATTTTTTTTTTATTTTATTTATTCTTTTTTGGACTGAAAGGATGACGGCTTGGGAGGCCATGCAGAGAGTTTTGGATTTGCCTTTAGTTTCTCCTTTTACATTTTTCTGAGTGATACCTGGCTTTTTTGCATAACAAAAAATTTGTTTAATAGTAACAGTTAATACTTTGCATAGCATCTGTAATAACCAAGGGCTGTGTATAAGTCATTCAATTTTCAGAACTCCCCAGTGGTAAAGATATTGGTGTCATAGCTAGTTAACAAACTGACAGACGGGAAACTGGGGTAGAGACTGGTAACGTGTGCAGGGTCTCGCTGGGATGTAAACCCAGGCACCCTTCAGAGTCTATGCTCTCCACCACTGTTCTACGGAGAGAAGAGGACGTTTTTAAGTCAGATTGCATTATGTGTATGGCGATACCCGGACTTGGAAATGATGTCTGAACACATTGTTTTGCAGAAGACTCTCCAGATTCAGAACAGGACCCGGACAAGCTGGGGGGGAAGCCCTCCCCTCCACCCCCAACACCCCCTCGGCGGAGCTACCTGCCGGGGCTGGGACTCACCACCACGCGGTCCGGTGACGTGGTCTACACCAGCAGAAAGGACAGCACCAGCTCTAAGGTCTGATGGGTTGAGCCCGGGTGCAGGCAGGCTTTCCACAAGGTCTCTCTGTGTTTGAATGTAAAAGCAGTGAGGCAGAGGAATGGAGGCCAGCTAAACTGATCTCCAGAAGGTGCTGCAGATGGGGAACGTCAGCCAGTGTTGTAGACCAGACATAGCTCTGTGAGTTTTCTCCTGACCTGACCTTAGTTGTGACATGCCAAGTGCAAATCACAAGCTACTTTCTCAGCGGGGCATCACAAGATGCAGACAGGGTAGGGGGAGGAAGCAAAAGAGAGACTGTCTTACAAAGGTAACCGAGATTAGCTGGCCCCGTTGTAGGAGTTTATATAGAAATATGTTAAATGAGCTGTAGCTTCCACATGGCAAGTTGTCTCCTATTTAAATTAAATTTAAAATGTAATTTTCAGAGGGGGGTGTGGTGGTGCATGTCTGTAATCCCAGCCCTGGGGAGGCTGAGGCAGGAGGATCAGGCCAAGTTTGAGGCCAGCCTGGGCTACAGAGGGAAACCCTGTTTCAAAACCTCCCCTCTACTACCAACAAGATACAATTTTCAAGAAAATAGGGGAAGGTCTTTCATGCAGACAGTGAATGTTGAGGAATTAGTTTTCTTAAAATTCTTCCATCATGTCACCAAATGACAGCTTATTCAAACAGTAATTCAAACTAAATACAAAGGAATAAAATAGCCTTTCGGCTAGACATCAAGAGCTGGGGAACCAGGAGACCAGACAGTGTGACCTGCCCCTTTTTGCTAGCACCTGGGAGGTATTAAGCCAATCTCTGTGGTTTGAATCTCCCGCAGGCAAGTGGCGCAGATGCTGGACAAAGCCCACAGAGTAGAACCACAAAGTGTGCAGTGGAGGAGGCTGCTGCAGCCTGGCCCCCCTCCCCGCCTCTGGCCGTTACCTCTTCCTGGAAGGATGAGGAGGAAGAAGAGGAGGAAGGAGAGAAGCTAATGGCAGAGCTGCAGGTGTGTGGGCAGAGTGGCGCTGTGGGCTCCCGGCCTTCTCACGCAGCTCACAGAGCTGCTAGCTAGTGGGCGCCTGGGTCCTGGAGCCGGGCCGCGTAAGCTGCACCTCGGGCCGTTACTTCCGCTTTCCTAAGATGATGCGGAACCAGGCTCCTGGTGTAAGATGTGGGAGGAGTGACGGTTTCACCAGACAGCTCGCAAAGGGCTGTGTGGAAAAATCAGTTGCACCCCTCCCTAACGCCGGCTGGTAGGAGTTACTCCTTGGTTCTAGTCTTAACTCTCCGCTTCATCTCCAAGGCAGTTCAGACAGGGATGAGGAAGACAGCCCCCTCTTGTCTTGATAAGGACTGGTCTTCGTGTGAGTTCCTGCCCTTTGGCTTCACCCTTTGCATAGGACCTTGAATCATGGCTCAGGGACAGCGACCGGCCTCCTGTAGCTCATACCAGCTTCCTGTTCAGTGACATCTTGTCACAGATTCTGCAGAGCTCAATCATTTTGTTCCCTGTTTTCCTTGGGCTATTGGGGAAACTCTGCTTTACTACTTTAGGTGTTTACTTTTTAACTCATCGCCATAGTTGACTCACGAGATTAAGGATAGGCTACAAGGGCTATAGGTAAAACTGATCCCCTATTCTGACCACGAATGTGAATCTGCCCTCAAAGTGTGCTCTGAGACGTTGTTAATTACAGGCGTGTGTGTTTTGGTTGACTCACGCTTACTATGTGATGCTTCTGTCGAGCATAGTCAGACTGCAGCTTGCTGGGGGCCTCGGCACATGCTGGAATGTCACCGCTGCACCCGTGGTTTTGTGCAGGCCTGTCAGTTTTCAGATTTCATTTGGAGGAGGGAGAAATTTCAAACCATGTATTTCCAAGACACTTGTTTACTCTGGTTTCCATGGTGATGACTACCCAAATTGAGCTGTTTGGATTTTACAGGGAAGTTGGGGCTCCTGATGGTGTGGCAGGCACAGGAATCCTCTCCAGCCCCCACAGCTCACAGGTCGGCCTGGGACAGTCCCTCCACCAGGCTGTTCACAGCCTTTTAGACTGCTCGGACACACATTCACAGGAAGCGTAGCTTTCTAAAGTTAGGAACTTTCAGACTGCTGAGTAATCCAGTCACACGTCTGCCATGAGTGCCACCGTCCCACCACTTGATGATGTTTTCCTCCACCGAAGTCTCTACCTTTGATGACCACCTTACAGAAAGCAGTGTCCCGCTTCTCGGCCTGTGATCAGTAGCTACTTAACAGTGGTGAATTAAGAGCTGCGCCCCTAACTCAACCGAACCCTCCTACTGGGATAAAGACCCAGGCTGATGGCCCAGAAAGCTGGCCATGGCTCAGCGGCTGTGCTGGTTTCTTTGCCTGGGCGCACCCTGGAGCTCGATCCCAGGCAGGACGAGGAGACTGTATCCTCTAAGAGCGGTCGTGGGGCAGCTTCCTGTGGTCCATGTCACTGGACACTGAGGAAGAAACACACGAGCTGCAGCATCCAGACCCTAAGAGCCCAAAGCAAATGGCAAATGACCTCGTCACACACATCCAAGATAAACCACAGAGCCAGGGCACCGGCAGGACTGGCTTTCCACGGGGCAGCAGGGAGCGCAGCAGTGAGAACAGAAAGACAGGCAGTCATGAAGTCCGACACTTGACATTTAAAGAAGCCACTAGCAATTATTTAAGATGATTGATCACCTTATTAGAAGGGGGAGTTGTAAAGGAAAACTATCCTGCCACCCAGAGATTCTGATTTCGCTCTTCCCTGAGTGTGGCTGGGGTTTCGGTAGTGTAAGTGGGGTGTTGAGACCACTGTTTTCCCACACTTGGGTCCCTGCTCATGGTCTCTCCTGCGGCCAGAGTTTCCGAGCCTGGGGTGCCTGTAGTGTCTTAGCCCTGTGGATCCAGCCTGTACTTTCTCTCTGTGTGAGGACTGGCCCGCGCAGTGATCACAGCTGGCCGGCAGCGGCAAATCTCTGTAGCTCAGGCAGTTCCGGGGCCCAGGAGCCTCACTTGATTGTGAGCTGGCCTCAGAGCGTGGGAGGACCCATCACTGTCTCAGAGAGTGGTTGCTAAAGGACAGTTTGAGGGTTTAGAGGGTTAAAATGTCCTGTGGAGCTTTTTTTGTTCTGTAATTTCAATAAAGCTAGTAAAAGAGGGAGGAAGAAGAAGGATATCTTTTTGATTTAATTATCTTGCATATTCAACATTTTGATGCAACTCGAGTTCCCCCACACAGAAGAAAGGTGTTCCTTCTCCCTTTTTTTTTTGGTGCTAGGTTTTGAACCCAGGACCTCACACATGTTAAGCAGGTGTTCTCCCCGAGCTCCATTGCGGGCTGAGGGTGTCCCCCATAGGGCTCTGTCCACTTTGTCCTGGTAAGAAAGCCTTTCCCTGGGCTCTGCCTGAAGGCCACCCTGCGGACTTGCGGCCCAGCGGGGAGCAGGATTTCAGGGTGCTGCCTCCGGGGTGTGAGCCAGCTTGCAGGGCCAGGGCTGGGCGCTGCACACCTCTGGACTCCCGTGTGTTTCCCTCTTCTCTCCTGTACCCTTGGGGCCCTGCTAACCTCCATATTTTGATTCCTTAGGCATTCCAGAAGTGTTCCCTTATGGATATAAACTCACACAGTCATGCTGAGCAGTCCCGGGCTGACAGCCACGTTAACGACACTAGGCCAGGTGCCACAGCCCTGCCCAAGGAGAAGAAGGTAACGAGGTGGCCACTGCACACCTGCCCCGTGGCCAGACAGCCCTTCCTCCCTTGCTCTGACACTAACACGGCCTCCTGCACTTGGGCTTCATTCCTCTCTCTCTTTCCCTCTCTCTCCTTTTTTTTTTAAACTAATAGAGACACAGGTTTAGGTTAAGATCAGAGATATCTGGCTCAGGTTTCTAGCATACAAACGCCATGTTCTTCTGCGTGGAATACAGTAGTGTATGGAAAAGCTAGACAGTATCTTCCCATACCTTTCAAGATTTTCTAAAAAAAAGATTTTCTAGGACAATTTTTAAAAACAAAACAAAACCTAGTGACCAAGTATTCAGGAGTTTTTCTATATCCTGTAGAAAACAAATCAAAAAATTGATGTTAAAGCTAGGTAAAAACCTCAGATTCAGGGAAGAAATTCACAGCAGAAAATACCTTTCACCACATATGTACAAAGGTGGAATTGTGGAAACATACAAGTATGTATTTGCATCTACATCTAGGGCTGCCAAACAGAATTTGTGCAGGGTGTTACCAATTTTTAAAGTATATCTTCCAAGACAGTAAGCTAAGTTCAATATAATTTTGGTGCTAAAATATATTTGTGGTTGTCATTCCCTAAGTACTTTAGGGAAAGGATTTCGCCTGACTTTTGGAACTGCAAATTAAAGTTGAATCTACAGCATTTTTGATTTGAGGATTCAGAGTCACCTTAGTTTAATTAAGAGTCCATATAAATTTTAGGATAAAACCTGTATGGATTCAAGTTCTAACCAAGAACTTACATTGCAGAGTTCAGGGTCACCACTTTCCCTTAGAGGCAGACACATGAGCGTCAGTGCACCTGTTCCAGTGGTGCTAAGGTCAGGAAGGTGGAGACCTTATCACACAGTATGGAGGACCAATCTAACCCAACCCCCAAGCACCTGCTCCCGTCTGGCTCCAAGGCCTCACGAGCCCCATGTGAGCGGCGTCTACCACTCGCAGGCGCATGAAGCTCTCATCAGGAGCAGGGAGCTTTCTCCCAGGCGTGGTGCACAGCCCCATCTGTAGTCCGAGTGCTCTGGGAGGCTGAGGCAGAAGGACTGCAAGTTTGAGCCCAGCCTGGGAAACTCAGCGACCTGACAACACTCTGTCTCAAACTAAAAAATAAAGAGGAAAGTGGGCCGGGGATTTAGCGCAGTGGTTCCGCCGCCTGCCTCACAAGCACAAGGTCCTGAGTTCCATCCCCAGTACCAAAAATAAAGAAAGAAAGAAAGAGGAAAGAGATCTGTTTTTGTACCAGGGGCGATTATTACATTATTCCTGATAAATCTTGCATATGAAGAAAATGTACTCATTTGAATTAAACCCATGAGATCACATTGGAAGTATATTACTTTTTCTGCTTATGGAGTTTTCCTTTGTGGCCTTAGTGAAACTAACTCTTAAGGCCCTGCAGGTCCATGGGCCAATGTGATTGTTTCTGTCTAAAACCCTGACAGGGAACTGAAACTTCTCAAAGATCTCTCTGGAGGAAGTCATTGTCTTGCGGTGGAATTTTTCTTATTGGCTAGAATCTTGCATGAGATTTCGTGTCTTTTTTTTCCTGGTACCGGGGATCGAACTGAGGACCTTGCGTTTGCCAGGCAGGCATAGGAACCACTGAGCTCCATCCCCAGCCCAAGATTTCTCCCCTTGCAATCATGATCCATCAGGAAAGCAGCACTGTCCGGCACTGGGTCTAACTGCAGGAACTACTCTGCGCCATTACTGTGTAGCCATTGGGTGGGTCTGTTTTATAATACTAAGTATTAGACTAGTCCCCCAGTTTTTGTCATTATTAATCTCTACCTTGGCTATTCATTTATCCTTTCATAAATCAAATGTTTTCTTAAAATTTTTTCCTATCATAACAAAGCCTCCAGACTTGTACTGCACTTTTATATAACTTGCCTATCATATGTCTCTAATTTTGGTTTATTGTCCATATGCATACTGAGTGTGGTTCTCCAATTGCCTAAGAAGTCCGTATTTGGGGGTCTAAAAACAAATATCCAAGAGGCTTAATTACCTTTCAGGCAGAGTCTTCACTGTCAAAGACTAAGAAAGCATTGTGTATTTATAGGATGACTGTGATCAAGTTATTGTGGATGAAGCTCATGCACTTGTTTTGATACATTTATTCCTTTTTCTAATCCAGTGATAAAAATAATAGCTTATGTGAAAACTACATGTGACATCTTCAACTTAGTGATTTGCCATTAGAGTATTCCTGCTACCAGATTGGAATTAAAATGCACATGTGCAGGGTGACCTTGGAAATGTTTAACGGGGTATACACAGGCCCTGCCTAACCAGGACAGTGCCGGCCTTACCCCGGTAGATGCAGACAGTGGGGCACCAGCCAGGCTGTGTCCGCAGGAGATCCCAGGCCGATGCCTTCTTTGATTCAGTGAGTGTCCTCTCTCTTATGCCATGGTGTAATATGCTACCTACCGTTTTAACAGCTGAAACTGTAGGCTGGAGCCCCTTACTTCTTTCCTTAAGACCTTTTACTTGATGTAGTTGTCTCATCTAAATTGAAGGTCCCAAAAGAAATCCTGTGGTTCATGTGCAGCACATGGTTCCCTGCCATTGTTAGGGGACTTTGTGGGATACAAACAGAGGCTAAACAGGAGTTATCTGGTAACTCATGTACCTTTACCGTGGGACGACTGCCATGTGATTAACACTGACTTGGTCGTCTGTGTGTTGCTCCTGAATGTGTGTGAACACTCTTTCCATTTTTAACCAGGGCAGGAGGACTGCTCTGGGTTGACTTTGGCCCGGCCTGGATGAGTGTGCTTTGTTACGTTGTCATTGCTTTAACAAAATTACCTTTGCTGGGATTGTGTTCTGCCCAGTTATAATCACCATGTCCTCTTGGGCTTCTGTGGCAAGGAGAAAGGGCAGCAGCGCCGTGCAGTGAGGAGGCCTTGCTAGTGCTGGGTTATGCAGGGCCCGAGGCGCTCACATGCCAGGCTGCAAAGCCCGGGCTGCCCAGAGCGCTCGGACTGCCTGCACCCTCACGGTTGGGTCCTTTGCTTCTGAGTGCGGGTGGGGCCCTCAGAAATGCATCTTTGCTCTGCATTGTAAGATACAGACCATGAAAGGTGCACAGTGAGATGCAGAGGATACAGGCTGACTCGGGCTGGCAGAGTGGCACAGTGGTAGCGCGTTTGTCGAGCACATTCGAAGCCCTAGGTTCCATCCCCAGCACCACAAAAGAAAGCAGAAAAACATCTGAATCAGGATGTCATAGTCGCCATCTTCCTATAAGTGTATGTTTTGTGTTCAGGTGACAGTCACGCATGCACCTCCACATAATGACACTGTGGTCAGTGGTGGACCTGTGTACCATGGGGATCCCACGGAGATAGAGAGCCAGCCGCACACTCTCTGCCCTCCTGACACTCACCGTGCCAAGGTCCCAGCACAGGGATCACGCATGCGTGCGTGCGCGCATGCGTGCGGAGAGTGAGGCCGATGGAACAGACCTGCGGCAGCACAATCCTGTGCGTGCACGGTGCTCTGATAGCAGCTGGGTCTGCGCCGTGTATTCGCGTCACGTCACTGTCTTACAGCGTATTCCTTCACTTATTAAACAAAACAAGCTTAGGCCAGCAGCAGCTTCATGCAGCCGGCTTACTCTGTCCCTTGGTCACTTCAAGAGGCCACCACCTGGGTGTCTGCAGTGTCTGCACCGTGACAGTCACCTGCTCCTGCATTTCGCAGCACGTCCTCCCCTCTCTCGCCATTGAGGGCCGCATGAGCCCCCGCTGGGGCGGCAGCAACACCGTAAATTTGAATTTGACTGTCGTGGTTAGTACTAATCTGAAGGTTATTTTGACACTTGTAGTACAAACTGCAGGGATATTTTCAATCTGTCGCTTGACCAGGGAGAAATAAAGGTTGGTTTGTTTCTTTCTTTCCCATCCCAAAATGACCACACCAAACCAATGCAGAAGTCTTTCTAGGACAATTTTCATGAATGAAGCAGAGATGGGTAAGATTTGGTGACACAGATAAGTAATTCCAGCTACTCTAGGTCACAAGTGTGAGACTCAGCTGGGCAACATGGCAAGAACCTATCACAAAATAAAGTGTAAAGGGCTGGGGACGTGTGGCTCAGTGGTCGAGCATTTGCCGGCACGCGTAAATCCCCGGGTTCAATTTCCAGTACCCAAGTGAGCACAGGACTGAAACAGCTAGGTGACAGGGGCAGACGTGAGAAACCTCTTGGTCTTATCCCTCCATTCATGGAGCAAGGAAACTGAGGCCCGGAGAAGTAAAATAACAACTTCCCTAACGTCGCTCAGTAGAGAGGCGGGTCTAGATCAGAATCCGGACATTCTGCTTGCCCCATGCATTGTGCTTTCTGCAGTTTCTTTGTAGATTCTAAGCTCGGGATCAGATGCTGATGGGTCCCTTTATTCTTTTAACTGCTCCTCCACAAAAGCTGAAACACATGAAATACTTTGCTAATTGAAATTTTCATCTTGTGCAAACGCAGGGCATTTTTGGAAGCTGGAGGACAAAGCAAGCCCAGGTAAACAGAGCTGCAGGCTTTGGTTTGGCGTGTTGCAGTTGTGCTTGGCAGCATGTTTGGAAATGTAATTAAAGGAATGATTTAGTTACAGTCCACTTGGGGGGGGGGTTGTGAAGTAATGTATCCTACACTATTCTACCAGAATTTGGAATTTTTCCACGAAGATGTTCAGAAATCTGATGTTGAATATGAAAATGGGCCCCATGTGGAGTCTCAGGTGAGTTCACCAGACCTGTGCTCCAGGTAATCCATGCAGCTTAGTTCATTTCCTGTGCTGACCCATTTCTGATTAATATGTGTGGTTCCCCTCGCAGGTTGCCACGGGGGTTCGGAGACCCGGGGACCCTCTTAAGTGGGAAACAGGACTGGAGAATAGTATTCCTGAGGCATCAAGAATATCAGAATATAAAACTGACAACCTAATGAAGGAAAGTTCCCTATCCAATAAAACTTTATTCAGGGACAGCAGAAACTATTCCCAGAAAAATGTGCCGAAGGTCAATTTCATTCTCACTGGAATTCATTCCCTCGAAGATGAAATAAACAAAGGGCCTGAAGTCCCAGCACTGCAGCACCCGCTACCTGACACTGAGGCTCTGGAGGTGACTTATGGGAAGATGAAAGAGACGGGTCAGCAAGCACAAGAAAACACAGAGAAGCCTCACATTCCCGCCACCGCGTGGTCAACAGAGCCGAGCGTCCGCGAGATCAAGATGCAAGATCAAGCCACGCTCATGACAGATCCTGGCCAAGTTGTGCTGAGACCCAAAGCGACAAGGCAGAGTAATGGGGCTTCTCCTCGTGAGAAGGGAGAGTCTACCCCAAGATCTCCCACCGAAGAGAATGCCGCCGCCGACAACATCGCCTTCATGATTACCAAAACCGCTGTCCAGGTCCTGTCCAGTGGTGAGGTCCATGCTATAGTGAGCCAGAAGGGGCAGGAGGTCCAGACGGTGAACATCGATGCCAGGAAGGAGACAGCTTCACAACAGGAAGGGGCTGAACATGAAGAGCCAGTCGTGTGCCTGGACAAAAAGCCAGTCATCATCATTTTTGAGGAGCCCATGGACATCCGGTCTGCCTACAAGAGGCTTTCCACCATCTTTGAGGAGTGTGATGAGGAGCTGGAGAGAATGATGACAGAGGAAAAGATAGAGGAGGAGGAGGAGGAGGAGGAGGAGGAGGAGAATGGAGACCCCGCCGTCCAGAATAACACTTCCCAAAAGTCCCTTCCGCAGGTGGCCCCTGGCAGTCTTCGCGTGGGACAGCAGGAGGTAACGAAATTCCAGCCAGGCCTCCTGTCCACGGAGACCAGGACCTCGGGAGGACAGGAAACGTATCAAAGCGAGCCAAGCACGTCCAGTGCAGCAGACTTCCCCAATTCTGACGGCAAGTGTGACACGGCCGATGACCAATTTGAAAGCCCCAAGAAAAAGTTTAAATTCAAGTTCCCTAAAAAGCAACTTGCTGCCCTCACTCAGGCGATTCGCACCGGAACCAAGACAGGAAAGAAGACCCTCCAAGTGGTGGTCTACGAGGAGGAGGAGGAGGACGGCGCCCTGAAGCAGCACAAAGAAGCCAGGCGGTTCGAGATCAGCCGGTCACAGCCTGAGGACGCCTTGAAAAATGCGACTAGTAGACAAGAGCAGCCGAGGCAAGACAGCACCTGTCAGATTTCGAGAACCGACGAGATCAGAAAAAATACCTACAGGACGCTGGACAGCCTGGAGCAGACCCTAAAACAGCTGGAAAACACCATCAGTGAAATGAGTCCCAAAGCCCTAGTGGAAACTTCCTGTACTTCCGACAGAGATTCGGGGGCAGGCTCGGCCCACGAGGCCTCTCCCCGAAACTTGCTAGCTCTGGATGAAGCCCCCCCTGCCCCAGAGCCCCCCACATCCATATCTTCGGCTTCACGTAAGGTATCTTGGTCTGGTGGAAAAGTGGAAAGACCCCTCCCCGGCTGCTTTCTCACAAACCTGCCGTAATCACCGTTAGCAAAGGGTGTCTTGTGATTTAATTGCTTCCTTTCAGGTGGCTCGTGTCGTTTGTGTGTTCGCCATGATGCCCTTTTCTCCTCCTGTCTCCCTCACCTTCCAAGCAGCAGCACCTAGGTGTCTAACCGCTAATCGATCCTGTGTTTACGTCTGTTGCTGATCAGTGCTGGGTACACCCGAGGATGGCGGGCCAGCCGCCTGCTGTTGGAATGATTGCGCTGATACTCACATTAAAATCCGACGGATCAGTAGTGAGCAGTGATTCTGTGTGATTCTTCTGATTAACTGCAGTCGGTGTCTCCTCCATCTGTCCTGCATGCAGGGTTCTGGCCTCTCACCTCAACCTTCTGCGCACCGTGGGGCAGCGTGGGGCACGGTCCACTCACGCACCTCCTTTTCTCTCCCTCTCTCGCTGACCTTCCGCAGGCCTCCAGTGGGACCCCTCCAACGAGCCGGATGCCCGTCCCCATGAGCTCCAAGAGCCGCCCCGCCAGCCTGGACAAGCCCAGCAAGCAGTCCAAACTGCAGGACCCCCGCCAGCTCCGTCAGGTAGTTTTACCCTAAACCCACTTTTGGATGGACACTGTTGCAATTAAGAAGCAGCTCTTGTTAGCTTATACCAAATCCTGTGTTTCCTGTGTAGGACACGGTTTACTAGGCACCCTGGATGGGGGGCATGAAGAGAGTCTGAGACACCTCTGTTACTCCTCTCTCCACGCGCTCGTATGCATGCAATAAAACCTCTTTTACTGATGACTGCAGATTTCACTGTTAACACGGTGCCGGGCCAGTGGAATTGTTTGTGGATGTAGCGCTGCGTCAGAACACTGTGGTTGAACTGCCCCTAAGTCAGCCGTACTAACGTCTGTCCGATGGAAGCACAGTCACGCCCCCCCGGTGCCCCGCCGCCCGGTCCTCTTCCCCACGCACGCGTGGCCGCCCTGGCCCTCGGGAATGGAGGCGGAGCGCCGTCCGCGCAGCCCTGCCTCCTGTCTGTGGGCCGCGTCCTTTGCTGTGCGCGGGTGCTCCTCCAGGGCCACCAAAGCCGGGAGCTAGCGCAGGCCTCCCACCGTGTGGCCCTTGTGTTGCTGAGTGATCTCAGACGGGCTGTGTGGCCGGCGCCTTCTGACACTGTCTCCACCGTCTCTGTTCGCAGGCTAATGGAAGTGCTAAGAAAGCTGGTGGGGATTGTAAGCCTACTTCCCCGTCCTTACCTGCTTCTAAGATTCCAGCCCTTTCTCCCAGCTCTGGGAAAAGCAGTTCCCTGCCCTCCGCTAGTGCTGACGGCTCTAACCTCCCTCATCCACCGGCTGCTAAACCGGCGACCGCTTCTAACCCTCTCAGCCCCCAAGCAGGACGGCCGGTGCTCTCGCTCTCCGCCTGCCTCATCCCGTCCGTCCCTAACGGCTCCTTGAAGTCCCAGAGCCCCGCGGCTCACGCGGGGAAGGGCCCCCACCCCGGCTCCTCACCGCAGACGCCCAACGGCCGCGCGGCCCTCTCCCCGCCCTCCCTGACCCAGGGCGCCAGGGCCGTCAGGATCGTCCACGCCCCCAGCCTCACCAGCTACAAGGCGCAGAACGGAAGTTCCGGCAAAGCCACCCCGTCCACAGCAAAGGAGACCTCGTAAAGGCCAAATCCTGTGCGGCGCAAGCTGGAATTACTTCTTCTTCTTTTTGTTTTTTTCTTTTCCTTTTAGCAGTCTACAACTGTGTTTACCAGAGAATGTAAAATAGCGCTGTACCATTTGAGGCTTCGTGCATAGTGTCTGCTCAGTACTGGATTGATAGATTTCGGTAAAGCGTGTTTTGTTTTTTACTTTGTTGCTGTCGTAACTACATAATGTTGACTGTCTACACTCAATACCTACTAAAGGAAGTGAGCATGTGCTACGAGAAGAGTGGAGAGAGCAACTGTGTGAGAGATGGGAAAATTGTATGAAGCATGTAAAACATGTATGATTCCAGAAACTTAGTATGTTTTGTATAAAAATATTTTTCATTATGGAGACTAGAAGTGAACAGAGAAATACACAAGTGTGACTATATGAATTGTAAAACAGATACTATAATATTTCCTTTTATTTTAGTGTTATTTAGCTTTATTACAGATTTCTATTTTTGTCAAAACTTCACGGTTCCTTTCAAGATCTTTTTTGCCAAAACATTTTGATACTATATAGCATTGTACATTTGAAAGTAGACACTAGACGATAAGCCAGTGAACTTCTACACAAGCCAATAGGGAGACATATTTAGGAAGCAATTCATCAAAACGATTGCACTGCCATGAAAAGTAGGTATAATAATTTGTTAGCCCACGTAAGCTAGTTTTCTTTCCTTTTTTTTCCTCCTTCCTTTTCTTCTTCAAATTTTAACATATTGAGATTCTCTAGTTGTTTTCTTTGGAATATCTAGCCCCTTTATTTTCTGAGACCTGGTCACCCACACTATTACATTGTGGATTTTAAAATGTACACTTCTGTATGGTTCTGTAAACTGATCCACTTTTGTAAATATATAAATACCAATAGACATAAAAATACTGTATGTGACCACACATAGAGTAGTTTTCCCACACCAAAGTTAATTTTTATGCATGCTTTAAAAATATATATTGGGATGGGTAGAAATGGGACTATCCACACATTTTTAAAAAGCAACAAATTTGCACAGTTGGAGTGTTTTTGTAAATAAATGTATTTGTATAACACCGTCATGTAATATACAGAACTATAAGCAGAGACTTTGCAAAACTAAATAAAGGGCTGCATGCTTATTATTTTTTGTACCTTGTCACTATAATTACTTCCTAGTCAAAGAACAACAGGCAGTTCTTACCAGGTGAAGTGTTTTTGGCTTGAGGGCATTATAAAACCTGTAACATCCGCTCGGATGCTGCTGCTTTTCGGAAAGCGCTGGGGGCTGATGAGGGGCCTAATAAATTAATTGCAAGTGTGGAGCCTTGGGTGTGGGCTGCTGACTCTTTCCTGGGGCTTCTCAGAGGCTGACAGAAAGCCAGGCGGAACGCCAGTGTCCCTCACCTGCCGAGGAACTCCTGCTGCCTTCCTTCTCTCTCTCACCCAGCACGAGGAAAGTGGAAGGAAAATGTCTTCATCACCACTGGGATTTTTTGTTTTAGTTTTCAATTTTAAAATACAGTGTTGCTCTGGAGGGATGTACTAACATGACACTATATGTTTTTGTTTAAGAATGGAAGGAAAGTTGGTGAGAATACCAAGACACTGTATGTACTACAGGGACAACCTCAGGAGCCTGCTTATCATTAGTTTTCAAATATTTAACTCGGTGGTTTGACATGAAGACCAGACAGTCCTGCCCTTTAGAGCCCACTTGTATGTTCTCACACTTCACAATTAACCAGGTGGGAAGCCTTCACCAGAAACAGTTTCGGATGTCTCATTACAGTTGTGGTAGTCACATGTTTCAGAGAGTGTGTAGGAAAGTGTTTAGGCGTAAAAGGTTCCAACATTTCAGTCGCATCCTATAATCTCAACGACTACATTTGTATATAAAATATACAAAGAATGATCAAAAGATATGGTGAATTTATTTTTTAAATTGTGAGACCAGGCCGGGGATTTAGCTTAGTGGTTCTGCCACCTACCTCGAAAGTGCAGGTCCCGAGTTCGATCCCCGGTACCAAAATAAAGCTTGTGAGACAGGGTCTCATTATATAGGCTGGCTTACAGTCACTATGTAGCACAGGCTGGCCTTGAACATACGTGATCCTCCTGCCCCAGCCTCTTGAGTGCTGGGATTACAGACATGTGCCACCATGCTTGGCTTAGATATCTTAAAAGTCAATCACAATAAAAGACATTGCTGCTAATCCCCTTGAAAGTACCCACTGGCTTCTCATCAGTCTTGCCAGTAGCAGCAGTTCTCAGTCCTTTTTTGTGAGCGTCTTTAACTGGGCCTCACTACACGGAACCAATTTGAAATGCGTACCTTTGATGGGAACTTTTACCTTTAGGAAGCCCCAAAAGCCGCAGGGTAGGGTACCGGAGCGAGGTGGGCAAGGGCGCAGAAATCCGCTGACAGCCGGGCCTCGGCCAGGGCGCTGGGCAGCAGCAGCCTTCACCGAGACCACACTGGCAGGGACGCGGGAGAGGACGCCCAGAACCGCAGGAAAGTGCCCAGGCAAAGGGAAGTCTTGGGAGGTGGGTTAATGGCAATGTGTCTTTTACTACAATAAATTTTAATTTGAACGTTCCCTGTGTCTTTTCATCGCACTTCAGCTAATACATAGCGAGTGGAAGCATTTTGTGAGGCCCAGTGTAATAGCTGGCGATTTCCTGCCAGTTCGCTGGCTCCCTCTTAGGCACGCTGAGAACCACGCAGCTGAACAGCAGTTTGGCTCCCTTTGTCAGTTCGACCCGGATTCCGCAGAGCTCAGGCGGTCAGAGAACGTGGGTAGGGTCCACTTCAGCCAGCGACGGATCCCCCGATTCCCCGGCCTCACGAGAGGGGAGCCTGGCGTAGCCGGGCTGCGGATCCAGGGCCGCGCGGGCCCAGGAGCTCGCCGGACACAGCTTCGCTGCGGTTCATGGTCTGGTAGCTCCCTGGTGCCGGCGGGAGAGCTCCCCTGCCCCTGCCTCTGACCCACCTGCAGCCCCGCTCGCCCTGCAGCTGCAGGCCCTGATGAGCTGATGAGACCTAACGGCAGCACCGGTCCCGGAGCAGCTCCCCTCCCCGGGCAACCCACGCCCCCACCCGAAAGCCCCGTGGCCCTTGATAAAGACGAGGTGCCCTGCCGCTCTTCCTCCCTCCGTAGTGCAGCCCCCTGCTGCCGCCAGGGCGCCCTTTGGACCCCACCAGCGCCCCCTGAGCCTCGCCGGGACCTGTAAGTAATGCATTTCTCCTGTCAAGTACTTTGGGTTTCCCTCCTCACAGCTCTCCTGGCTGACCCTCCCCAAAATGACCAACAGGATTGCTTCGACCTCTGGCCCCGCTAAGCCGAGGAACCACGAGGTCAGTTAGAAACGCTAACTATGAAAATCATAGCAACACCTCGCCTCCATTCACATGGGAAGTGGAGCTGTTAGCCGCTACTTTTTGTTCCGCTGTTAACAGGCTCTCACTTTAGGGGGTGTCTTTTAGCCAAGTGTGGACACTCATCTGTAACTCAGCACTCCAGGAGGCTGAGGCGGAAAGGTTGCGCCCAGCCTGAGCAATTTAGCAGCTTAGCGAGACCTTGTCTGAAACAGTAAAACGGGCTGGGGATGTAGCTCAGTGCAAAGATGCTGGTTTCGATCCTCAGTATTACCACAAAGACGGGGTCTTTTAAATTATCAGTGGTTTTCTGCATCTTAGAAATAAACCACACGGGCTTGGGGGTTCACTTAACCATCCGTTAATCTCTTGGAGGGAGGCCCGGGCTCCGCCCACGGGCGCTCCAAGGAGAGGACGCTCGGGAAGCCGCACTCCCCGGCTGGGGCAAAGGTGCTGCCCATCCGGGCCGGGCCGGGCCCCTCGGGCCTGCAGACTTCGGGGTAAACCCCGCCCTCCCGAGGGCCCTGCCCCGCAGCGGAGCGACCTTCAGTGCGGTGCAAATGCAAAGGCCTGGAGAGCAGCCGGGCGGCCCTGGCCCGGGCCCAGCGAGCTTCCGGGCCCGGGGAGGAGGAGGCGGGCGCGGCTGGCCTAGTCTGGGGACAGAGGTGGCCTCGGGGGCTGCGGCCGGCCCCTACGTCGCGGGCCAGCGGCTGAAGCTCTAGGCGCGGGGCCGAGACGGGCGTCCGCGAGAGGGCGGAGCCTGTCCGCCTCCCCGCCCCTCCGGCCACACCCCCGCCACGCCCAGAGACGCTCAGCCCGGACTCGCCATGGCCACTCCCCCCCCCCGCCATCTTCCACCTGGGCCCCGCCCCCTCCCGGCCCGCCCCATTGTATCACGCCCAGTTCCCCGCCCACTCCATGCCCCTAGGGCCCGCCCAGCCCCCGCCCCGCCCCCGCCGCCCCTCCGGTGACCGCGCCCTCCGGTGACCGGGTGCAGGGTGCTCCGAGGGGGCCCCAAGAGCCTCCTAGGGGGTCCTCGGGGCCCAGCCTGCTCTGGGGCCTGCTGTTGCGCAAACTCCCCTACTGTCGCGAGCAGGTACCGTGGCTAAAGAGGACTCGGACTCGGATGGCAATTCACACACTTATCTTATATCATCCTAATTCATTTCAATACAATTACCACACAATGTTAAGTCTGCCGATGACCACGTCCCTGTACCTGTACTGCGCAAGTCCTTAATGGGAGCGCGACGTTTCCTCCCACAGGGTCAGAGGGTCCGATCCGTAGACGAAGGGCGTCGAGTCGGCGCTAGGCTGTCCGCCTCTCCGCTTTCCTGGTCCTCTGGTCTCCTCTGGTCGGCGGCGATGCTCCTCCCAGCGGGATCAGGTGTGCAGATGTCTCGATCGATCGGTAGTCAGATCATCAGACTGACTGGTCGGTGGGACGGATCGTCGACTTGCTTGGGGTCTTCAGCTCCTTTTATACTATTCTAGCTGGGCGTTCGTGGTATTGGTTCAGACTTATCACACTGTCCAGCTTGGAGGCACACTCTGCCCAATTCGGGGTACGCCCTGTCCAGTCCGGGCTACACCCTTATCAGTTCCATACCACCTAAGGTTCTACTTTCATTACTTTCATATCTTATGGTTACACATCACTCTTATGATTGTGTTATACTTAGGTTACAGCACTCTTAAAGTCACAGCACACTTTAGGGTTACAGCACACTTAGGGTTATACAATTCCATCTTATTCCAAGCCTTCGTGGACGGAGGCAGATGGTGACCCCGGGGTGGTCAGTGAGTGTGGAATACAGGACTTGGGGTCCACACGGAGGCCGCGCGGCAAGGTCTGCCCGAATCTCGGACGCCCACCCTCCTGTGGGCGCACAGGCTGGGGAGGGGGCGTGGGGGTGTAGACACACATTTCCACGTCATCCACATTTAAACTCCCCTCTAAGATTTGCGACGTAAGGCTCCTCCATGAATACAGCACTATTAGCCGGGCGTGGTGGCGCACACGTGTAATCCCAGCACTTGGGAGGCTGAGGCAGGAGGATCGCAGTGCGTTCCAGGGCAGGCTGAATTCCAGAGCAAGACCCAGTCCAAAGGAAACGCGTGTTCCTCTGCTGCCACCTGCTGGGCGTGGCTGGGGCTTCCTCTAGGCCTCGGGAAGCCTGGCTGCCCCACTCCTGGCAGCTTCTGCCGTGACTCTGGACGGAGCGGCGAGGCAGCGGCGTTTGCCCTCGCCCAGGGCCTCCCATCCTTGCTGTTTTGGAGAAAGTGAAGCAAAATCTAAGACCCACTGGGCCTGCGGGAAGAAGGCAGGGTGAGCCCGTGGGGCGGCTCCCAGCGGGGTTCCTGGACTCGAACCCCGCACAGGGCCGGACACACACCCGTCCGGAGAGGCCGCCTTCCTGCCCGCCGTCCGTCCGCTCCGTTCGCCCAGCGCACCCGGCTGCCCGGCCCGGGTGCACCTCAGCCCCGCGGCTCTGCGCTGCGGTTCCTGCCCGAGCCCGGCCGCCCGGGAGAGCTGGTCTCCCCCAAGCCACGCTGGGGCAGGGGCAGGCCCGGAACCCGCCGTGGGGGCCCAAGCGGGGGGGGGGGGGCGGCCTTCCCAGCCCTGAGCCGCGCTGGTTTTTTTAATTTAACCTTGGTTCGGGGTTTCGGCCAGCCTCGGTGCTTTCGGCTTTTCCCGGTGCGGTACAGTACTGAGGCTTGTACTCGGGCCCTTAGCACTGAGCTACGTCCCCAGCCCTTTTTCAAAAGTCACTTTGAAA